GAACATGCTGGCCCGTTCATCCCGCCTGTGGGTGTTAATACCGTGCCGTGGGTGGATCCGGAGCATGACGGGGCGATCTGGCAATATCCGTCAGGCTTCCCGCATGTCTCAAGCCCTGTTTACCACAAGAGCTGGACCTCCAATCCTATCTACCTCTGGATTGGCGTGGTGATATTAGTACTTCCCATCATCGGCGGAGCCTACTACGGCTTCCGCTACTATCAATCACAACAGCGGCTGGATCCGCTAGATGATGAATCAGCCGAACCGTTGAACGGCATGGCTGAACGAAAAGCCCATCCCCGTCACACCAGCGATCTCCCCTGGTGGAATTGGAAACGGTGGACCGGAGGGGATGAAGGTCACTACTTGCCACTCGCGGATCGCAGTCCAAACCACAGACGACAGCGGACGGAGTAGACTCTCTTTTCATTTTTCTTTTCTTTCTCTGATACACCTTGTACACCTGCATTGCATTGCTTGGGCCTGTCATTTGTTTTAAACTCTCTTTCTCATGTTGGGACTTTTAACTCTCCCGCGTATATACATCCCGACGATCTCTGAGGTCTGTGGACAAAATGGCATTGATCAACTGTAAAAATTACAGAAATACAAATACCAAATTACACTATCCCGAGTCCTTATGTAATCCTATCAAAGCCGAGCCGGCAGTTAATGCTTTTTTGAATTTACTTTTTCTGTACAATACGTGACCATACGTAGGTCCCTGGCGTACGCGTCCTTTGCGGCGCTTCCGGACTTTTCCCTCGCCTCTTTGCCCCCTACAATAGAAAATGGGGTCAACCCAAAAGCAAGAGAGATCATAATCCCACTCCGCCGAAAAGGGCGAACTCGTAATCCCCACCCCGAAAACGGACTTTCGTCGCTAAAGAACACTTCAAGGAACGAAAAAGAGGGGCCCCCTGTACGTGGACCGGGGCGAGAGCATTGATTGATTGTAGAACCCTGTTTTTTTATTATTTAGGAGCGCCTATCAATAGAATTGGAAAAGAGTTTTAAAGTATTCTGTACTCTTTTTTGTGGCAGGGTCTCGGGCAAATTCAATTCGTGCGGGATCAATCAGCCGGTTCATTTGTTTCATTGTAACAGTATCATCCAAAGACTTGATTGCTCCGTTACTGTAGATAGATTGTATAGCTGATACTGCTGTCACGGAGCTGAAACGTGGAGCGTCGTGCCGGTGCAATCGAGCAACTCGGGACGAAAGTCGATCATTTACCCCGTTGAGATTTAGACACCTGTCTTCTCCATGGCTAGAGTATCGGCTATCCCTATTTAATTCAGGTTTTTTTGGTTTCTTCTGTTTTCTCGTCCTTTGTTTTCATTATTATCCACCTATTATATTCATAGAACCTCAGAGGCGGTTGGACCCGTTTGGTGGCGGCGATAAGATCCAGTACGAAAAGGGAATAAATTACTACAGAATCGAAAGAAGCCGCGTAAAGCCCCAGTTCCAAGCCCCAAAGCTTCTAGAGGCGCGCTAAACCTTCGCGAACTTTGTCCAAGTAAGAGAATTACGTAGGGCCCCGTTGCGGACACTATACCCGATTCTTCTTAAAGACTTGTTTTTTGAATTAATTTGCAGTAAATTATACGAGACGCTAAAATTGAAGGGCCTGTCCGCCTCCTCCACTATGGTTCGTTTTGAGGGCTTGCCAAGACCTGTCCGGAGACGCACGGCCTGGACTGACGAGTCACGATCCAGTGTAAGGGAGGAAATGGTGGACTCGGGAATATAAGTGGATCGGTCGTCGCAAGCCCCGTCTGGACGATCAGAACTCCGTATTACTGTATGAAGTATGAAATACGAGATTTCTATTACAGATCTGACGATAAGGCAGAGCTACCCAGTGCGAAATGGATTGCTACATGGATAGACAATGTAGTACAATATCAAAGAGAATAGATGCATCCAGGGCCCTGTCTACGGGTACATTGAATATACGTATAGATGACATCCATGGATATTCTTTTCACCCCCTTGGTCCACCCGTGGAATAAACTGTATGGAGTAAACTCAGAGGTTCGATCATCTCCTTTCTCATTTAGATTTTATTCTTTTTTCCTTTAATTTCCTTTTGTACTGGGTACAACGGGTCAGAAAAGGGGATCCAGTAACCAACTGCATACGAAACGGCAACAAAAGACGATCTTTTCTTCTTCATCCCATTTCTACAACTGAGAAAGAGAATCCTCTCACCCAACTCCTCTCTATCATTGATTTTCTCCTCACTTGTGGTGGACCAATTACAAGTCGTCCCAAACCCTTTCAAAACCAAAATTACACGAAACCGAAGGGGTGTCGCAACCTGACGTCGTTCGGTCTCCATCGGCGCTCCTCTCTTAGTTCCGGCTTACATATACATTCTTGGGTCATGCCTGCGAGGTCCCAGAGCCATAAAACGAGTAATGCCCGCCACGCGCGTACGACTTCGTGGTCGAGCGGTTACCATCATTTAACCCAGGGCATCGGCAACGGCGAACCTTCCGAAGCTCCTCCTCCCCGACGTCGCCGCGAATCCCAGCTCTCCCTCGCCAGCGTTGACGAGAGCCCCTCCTCCCCCGACGCTCCCAGTCTCGATGACCCCGACATGATCCGCAATACCTCAATGGATTTGGACGGTCAGAAGAACCAACATGTGCGCAGCCGCTCACAGAGCCAGGGTCAGCTCCTGGCCATGCAGCAGTCGATGCTGCCCGAGCAACCACCTCGTCCGGCCCCAGTCACCTGGATGTCGCTGCCCCGGAAAGGCCAATTGGCGCTACTAGGTCTCTGCCGTGTCTTCGACTTTTTGCAGATCGCCTCGCTGCAGGCATACATGTTCTACCAGCTCAAGTCTTTCGATGAGAACCTCTCCGACTCCGACGTGGCCACCCAGGCCGGTATCCTCCAGGGCGCTTTCACTGCGGCCCAGTTTGCGACGGCCATCCCATGGGGTCGTGTGGCGGATGCTGAGTGGGGTGGTCGGAGATTCGTGCTGCTAGTAGGCCTGGTTGGTACAGCTGTCTCGTGTCTCGGTGTGGCCTTCTCGACGTCCTTTGCGCAGGCCGTGTTCTGGCGTTCGTTTGGCGGCGCTATTAACGGCACCGTCGGAATTATCCGAACTATGATTGCGGAGAACGTGAAGGAGAAGAGATTCCATTCGCGCGCTTTCTTGATCTTGCCTATTGGATTTAACATTGCTTCCCTATTTGGTCCTGGTAAGTTCTTCTACACAGTGGAAATTAGAAATTATACTGATGTCTTTTATAGTTATGGGTGGTATGTTGGCCGACCCTGTGAAGAGCTACCCCCGCCTCTTCGGGCCGAACTCGTCCTTCGGGGGTGAGACTGGTGTTAAGTGGCTAGAGCGTTACCCGTACTCTCTACCCATGTTTGCCAACTTCATCTTCTTGTCAGTCTGTGCATGCTTGGTGGCCTATGGATTGGAAGAGACCCTGCTATCTTGCAAGGGCAAGCCGGGCCTGGGATCTTTCGCTATGAAGATCTTCGCTCGCATTGTCGGACGTGTCGCAGGTACTTCCTCGCCTCTATACACCCGACTACCTTTCCGGGACTACGAGGAGAATGGTCCCCTGCTTGCCGGAGCTTTGGATCGCTCCGAGAGCTACGAGCTTGAGGAGAAGGCATCCAAGCCTATCCGTGTCAAGCGTGCTCTGCCATTCCGCCGCATCTGGACCAAGAACGTTCTGTGCACCCTCGGCGCTCAGGCTTTCTTCGATTTCCAGATGGGTGCTTTCAACAACCTCTGGTTGCTGTTCCTGTCTACTCCCCGCTACGACTCGGCTGATCCGGCAAGCCCCGCCCAGAGCCTACCGTTCATGTTCACGGGCGGCTTGGGTATGCTTCCCCAGAGCGTTGGTTTCGCGACCGCTATCCTCGGTGTTATCGGCATGTTCCTCCAATTTACCATCTATCCCTCCATCAACGGCCGATTGGGTACGGCCAAGAGCTACCAATACTTCCTCTCCCTGTTCCCACTGGCCTACGCGCTGGCACCTTATATCGCTCTGGCTCCTTCTTCCACCCCACCCCCCGGCCAGGCCAACGGCCCCTGGGTATGGATTTGGATCATCATTGTGCTCTTCTGCCAAGTCACTGCCCGAACCTTCACCCTCCCAACCTCCATCATCCTTCTGAACAATTGCTCCCCACACCCATCGGTCCTCGGAACGATTCACGGTATCGGCCAGTCCGTGTCCTCGGCCTTCCGAACCATCGGACCCATCTTCTCAGGTGCGTGGTACGGGTACGGCCTGGATATTGGCATGGTTGGATTCGCCTGGTGGTTAATTGCCTTGGTGTCCGTCTTCGGTTGCGTTGCTGCCATCTTCGTGTACGAAGGCTCTGGCCATGAGATCATGCTCCCCGGTGAGGAAGACGAGGTCCTTGAACATGGACATTAGTGATGTGATACGTTTATTTTTTGTTCTCCGCTTGAGCTGTACATTGCTTCACACTTTGCATGTCATCCGGTGTCGGTGCGGTGGGTTTTTGTTTTTTTCTTGCTTTCTAGAATATAGCCGTGGGCTTCCGGGTGAGATCGCAGTGTTTGCCATGGCAGAGCCACTTGATATCCCCACGAAGCCCAAGGCGTTCTGCATGTGTCTTTTTGCCATTTTCTGCCTCGTCTGGATACCATTTCCCTTTTTGCATTGCCAATTTCTTCCGGCATTTATGTTTCATTTTGCCTAATGTCTACGCGGCGTCCTTGCTTTCATGTTTCATATATTTACCTGCCATCTCTCTTATCTTCGGTTTGAAGCGAGCGGTGACGGATGAATGACACCATGTGGTCATTAGAATATAGAGTCCGGATCTCCGTCTGGTATCTGATCCAGAGGGACTCAAACTCCTGTGCTGCTATATACCTCAAAATCATAATAGAACATCTTCAAACATTCAAATCCCAAAGCTCAACCTTAAATATGCATTCGAAAATATTTCATCTAAATCATGTCTTGGGTCCACGGGTATATCATGAACTCTTTCCATAGTACTTGGCATAACTGGCATCGAAAGTAGCCTGATCAACGGCAAACTGCCGAATGTAATCTCTCTCGAGGTCGTGTGTCCTCCGTCCGAGGAGCACAACACTGTGCAACGGAGCTCCCATCTCCACCTCGGCCAGTTCAGTCAAAGTACCGACGACAAGCTTCTGATCCGGCGCTCCGACCCGCGCAGCTCCCATAGCAAGACGATCAGGGGCACAGATGCCCTCCTTGCGGTCCTCCTCGACCTCCAACATTTGCTGCGCACACTGCGCAACAGTCATATAACGTGGAGGCTCATAAATCCGACGACCACGGGCCAGGTTCTCCATAGACTGCTCCTTCACCTTAATGTCGAGCAGCACGAGAGTGTGCAGACCGATCTGAGCGTTCTCAGCCACACGGTCGTAGAATGAGGCCGGGCGCCAGTTATCGAGGAAGAAGACCATGCTGACTGTCTGGCCGAAGTTGTAAAGCTGGAGACCAGTGCAGCCGATTCCGGACATAATGGAGGCATTGGGAACGACGTTGGTTTGGATGTTGAGTTCGCGGGCGCGGAGGACGAGATCAGTGTGAGTTGTTGCGCTGGCGGTTGTCAGATGTATGTATATATGCAGATTGACTTGGTGACCTACCCGAATGGATCGCCAACAACAAGGAAAGCGATGTCGACTTTGTCTGCATCAGCTAAGATCTCATCGCTGCCACTCTCTACTAGTTCGCGATCTGCCTCGATGACTGGTCGGCCGTAGAATGCCTCCTATGAAAATCAATAGATTTTGAATTAGATATCATGCCAGAAATCCACGAATTGAGCCCCTAGGGACCCCGAGCAGACACTTACAAGCTTCGACTTGTCCACAAGAAGAATGGCAGTGTATGCCTCCAAGTAAACCCGCTCGGCACGCTTGACGATCTCCAGCCCACGGACGGTGATATCCGTCTCATCAGCGAGACCGAGTCCTACTAGATGCAACATGGTGTAGGATGGGAATCAAAATAGATCAATTGAGTGTTTTAATCAATCTGGCTCCCCTCGTTTTCATGAGAAATAATTCACTGCCCCGCGGCAGATTGAATCACCGCCTAGAGGTTCGGCGGAAAAGAACCTCCGAGATCCGGCTATCGCGTATCGTTATCGAGATGGACCCCAACTTAACCTTCCTTTCGTCCCTTATTAGATCACCTCTTCCACCTCCAAGTCGTTCGGTCCCACAGTCTCCTGCTTTCACTCGCAGGGGGTTTTCCTTCGTCTCCCATCGCGTTCCAGCCGCAGAGCTTCAATTGTCAAAGCTCCCTGTATAATTGTGATCTTGAGGTCCTTGGGGTATCAGTTCCGTCGCAAGGACATTTACCGCGGTAGCGAGAAGCCGTCGCCATGAGTTCCGATCGTCAACCCAAGTATAGGCAGGAGATTCAACAGGTTAGTTATTCCCCTTCATAACGATTGTTTCTAGTCGGCGACTTTTTCGGCTTTCGGTTTCTTGGTTTTCTTCCCAACATTCGAGTTTGGGGGTGGTCCTCTGGTCTGACGTCTTTGGCGCATTGCGCGCATGTCTCGACTGCGGCATTAAGGGTGCTATTTGCAGGATATTAATGCGTTGAAAGTCATGTGGCGCATTGTGTGCCAATGCGTATCGCATTTATGCTTGATGCACGTTGGGTTGAAAGATTGTCCCTTCATCGTCGTGAGCTGCGAGATCTGGAGATTGCGGTATGGGTTAAGTGATGCGTCGAGCGAGTGACGGAACGAATGGCCTCATAACGCACACCCTGCCTTATCGATAAGTGAGGTTGTTTACACCTGCGCAGGCTTTCTCGCCTTCATCACCTGTCACTTACCATCTACCACCTCCTCCATCTATCCACTTTTTTCATGCTCAGAACCTCATTCTTGTCCACGGAGCTGCAATAGCTACGCCCCCCCTCGAACTCGTTGCCTCCTTTCTGCTTTCGAGCTGATTGCGGGGCTCGGGCTCGGGGCTCATCTTACTTGCTCTCCGTCGTGAGACTTCATCACTACGACACCACCCCTCTGCATCTTTCTCTATCATACCTCCTTCCCATTCATTCAGAATGGCTGATAAGGGACTCAACCCTCGCCTTGTTCACATCTCGCCTGAGGACATCGAGGCTGCACGTTTCGAGCTGCCCAAACATGGCCCCTTCTCAGTGTCCGAGGATGGACATTTGAGGATTGCCCGGCAGCCAGAATGGCCTTCACATGAACAGCTTCTGCATGATCTCGATGACCTTGACCTCGATGAACTTGAACTTGATGAGCTTGATCTCAACGAGATTCAGAACCCTGATGCATTCTACATGGAGCGTATGCCATGCGAAGTAGACATGGAAGCAGACACGTACGATGCAGACCTTGAGTCCGGCGCTGAAGCAAAGCGCAAGCACCACACTCGACGAAAGCGTATCACCAAACGCCAGGCCCGGATTTTCCAGAAATCAAAGGCCCTTGCTGCTGCATCAAGCGGAGATAACGACTCATTTGAAATCTCCGCTGAGCTGAGACTCAAGAGTTCTGGAGCAAGTGATGCGGATGAAGACCAGGACACGAATAGTAGTCCAGGGACTATTGGCCTCTCGTCTTCGTCTGCCAAAGAAAACCAAGAAGCCGACGCCGATTCTTCGCATTCCGATTCGTCGATATTTGATGAGATTGTTGACACGATTCGCCGCCAGATGATGTTCGTATCCGGAGAGACTGCCGAGCCCTCCATCGAATCGACTACTCTTATCGAGGACATCACCCGTCAGCAAGTCCTTGAGATCGTCAGTTTTATCTACCCAATATATCATTGTCGTCTAGCTAATTATGACACAGCTGAGCCGCAGCACCCAACTGGCCACTCGTCGAGGATCTCGCTCCATTTCAACTGATGATCTTATTTTCCTGATTCGACACGACAAAGCGAAAGTCTCTCGTCTGCGCACTTTTCTGTCCTGGAAGGATGTCCGCAAGAACGTCAAGGATTCTGATGACAAGGGTGGCGCCGATGCGGCAGACTTTGCCGCTGCTGACGATGCGGCAGGTGTTGTTGCTGGCCCGCAGGATGTAGCTGCAAAGCCCAAGAACAAGCGTGCCAAGGTCGGACTGGCGTGGGATGTGCACAGTTATTTCTCAGTGCAGATTCCCGAGCGCGATGATGAAGAGGACGAAGAAGAGGAAGAACAGAACTACGCGACCCTCCAGCGTCTGGCTGCTGCTGATGAGCGTACCAAGCACATGACCAGAGAGGAGTATGTCTTTTGGTCAGAATGCCGCCAAGCGTCGTTTACATACCGCAAGAGCAAGCGCTTCCGTGAGTGGGCTGGATTCGGAATTGTCACCGAATCGAAGCCCAACGACGACATTGTTGATATTCTTGGTTTCCTCACTTTTGAGATCGTCCAGACCCTGACCGAGGAGGCGCTTAAGGTCAAGGAGCGCGAGGACCACGAGAAGAACCGCGGTGGCGCCGAGACCTCCGGCGAGAGCGCTAAGAAGCGCAAGCGCGAGACCGGCCTGTTCGACCCTCCCGAGGAAGGCCGCACGCCAATCGAGCCCCGGCACATCCGGGAGGCCTACCGGAAGCTGCAGGCCACGCCGCAGAAGACCATCGCTATGCTCTTGCACAATGGCCGCGTGCCCTCCCGTTTGCCTCTTCGCTTGGTTAGTATCCCTTTGGCTCAATCTTGCTGACTTCTTGCTGACTTAATTTTTAGATTTGATTGAGTTGGGGAGTGTAATTCATGTGTTTTTGTGGACGGCGTTTTTCCTGGCATGATACCCCTGTTGTTTTATTTCCGTGGTGTTTGCTATTTTCTCCATATTCAGGTCCTACTAGAGGTGCCTTGCTGCTTACAATCGAATTGAATTGTAAGCCATTCCGTTTCTCTTCAGTACGAGGTATAATATTGCTGTAGTGATGATCATTTCGGGTTCCCGATCTCTCAGATAAATGTTTGTGCCGTAGACTATTCTGGTTTCTATGTCTACGTGATGAGACAATATAAGTACTGTAACTTGTCTTGACGTTGTACCAGACTAACAGTCTGGTATCTTCTCATCAACATGGATTTATCTAGCTAAACGGAACTACGGGGAGAAGGGACAATTTCTGGTGGGTTTGACGAGAGCTTTCAGGAGCAAAGGTGGGTAAATGAACCCAGCACTATTCTATCAAAAACCAACCCATGTTGATTCCGTGTCTAGGCAGAAATCAAACGCGATATTGATGAAAGCTATACCGGAGGGTAGATAAAAATTTAATATTGTAATTTGTGAACCCATTCCTATCCTATAGATTTTCGGTTAGGTGTCACTTTCATTTAGATTAAGCCCTTTATACAGAGTTAATGACCTCCACAAAATGTCCAACTTATGTTTGATGAGTACGGCGCCCTGTATCATGATTAGCCTCAAATCCTCAAATTCAAATCCTCAAGGGAAAACATACATTCAGCCAACTCCTCAGCACTCAATTCTCGGATCGAATTAACGGGAGGAACACTGCCCTGCACAGCTCCCTTGACGGTATCAACCGCTCTCCCAATAATTCCCTTTCGTGCAACAACATGCGTCGCCAGCTTGGCTTCCAGCTTAATCACGCCAATGCGCGGATCAGTGGGACCACCATCATGCACGCCATCACCCATGTCACCCAGCCAGGCTTTGAGTGCGGGTGAGTAGTATTTCTGTACTGTGTCTGCGTCTGCGACGACACTCGCTGTTCCCGAGATGGAGGCCCAGGCGCCGCTAATTGGGTCAAGGAAGGACATGTTTGTTTCTTGGGGGTGGACAGCAAGGTCCATTGCTTTGCCGGAGAAGAGGTTTGTGTGGAAAATTAGGTCAATGCCACCATGTTCCTGCAAGGTGGTGGTCAGTATAATTGTTTGAAGATACGATGGGGTGGAGGTATAGGAATACCTGTGCAGCTAAAGCCATGCATCGCGAAGCTAAGTATTCACCATCCGATTGCTTTGTTGTAAGCATACCAAACTTGACCTCAGCAACAAAAGCAGCGAGGTCTTCGATCTTCTGAGGCAGAGGTGGGTCCTCGAAGTTCTGTGTCTTGTAGGGATCCACGGGATGTTGGCCCGTGCTAGTGTTGATAGAGCCGGCGGTAGACATGATTGATGTATTGATGTATTGATGAATTGATGAAAATAAGATAAGATATTGGAGATAAATGAGATTAGCTCGAATGAAAGGTTATATAGCTTTCCTGTCTGCATGCGATCTTGGAAAATACACAGACACGTCGTTGTGACGTCAGTGACTCCAATCCGGATTGGGAACTCTAACATGTAGGATCACGCAACGGAAAAGCGATTTCCTTTCCGATGAGAAACTCTTAGTCACAGCTTCGTACATCATGATCAATACAGGATTTGGATCTATTCAATGTAAAGCGGAAGATAAGGTTGATCTAGGTTCCACGCTAAGCTTGAAAGTTCATTTAAACTCGATGGCGAGGGTTCCCGGTTCGAACTCGAAAAGAGGAAAAGAGATGTTAATGATAAACTACGACTCTTAATAATTCTAGATTCTGGAGCGGCCCTCCCGATTGCCTTTTGTGGTCGTTACAGTCTCATGCATTTTAGATACATCTATTCCTTTCAGTTCAAAACTTGAAAAAAGAGTCGCTACTCTTTCATCCCTGATTGGATAGAGCAACCAGTCCTAGTAGTACATCCGCTTATCTCCATCACTACGTTGACATGAATGCGTCGTTCGCCTTGGAAATCTACCTAGTAGTAGGCACGATGAGTACGGGATATTGTGGCATGCTTTATTTCTCTGACGCTTTCATAGACAATAATCATTAGACATTATATCATGTTAATCGGCAAGAATAGAATAATCAGAACGATATAGAGTGGGTTCTTCAAAAACTAGTCCCTTGACTCCATAGTGATGTGAGCCCGCTGTAGGTTTGGGGCTTGCATGTATGCATGCAAATGGTGATTTCTCAAGTCAACACCATCTCTACCTCTGCTTTTATCATTATGCTCCTGGTGACATCTCAAGAGTCAAGAAAGCCCCATGTCACTTTCCAACGATTAAATAATGTCTGGTCGGGAGAATGTGACGTGTTGAAGCTAATAGCTGGCAGATCCTTGGACCCGATCAACTTTGGAATATTGCCCATTGAGGAATTGTCTCCACCACCAATACATGCATGGATTGCAACAATTCCATGCCAGAGCTCTCAGCCAATGACTCAAGGATAAGGCCAACGGTGAGCCATGGTAAAGCCCTTTTTTTCCCGAAATTAGCAATCGTGCCGCTTCAAAGCCAAGCCGAACTCACCATGTGAAAAGAATACAGAATATCTTGATCAGAGTTGCGATTATAGCGACAATGACAGCTGCATTCCGAATACCAAGTCAGCGATCAATCAAACTCCAACGCAGCAAGACTCATGTACGAACCTTCTCGCACCCATACTCCAGCATGCTCAATCCGCTCCTGTACCCGATTTCTCTTAAACCAAGATGGTATCAGATCCCTCCGACAAGTTTGGCCTTCAATCACCCAGCAACCACCCGGTACACGCCGGCACTCAAGATGCCACCGGCGGCGTTCCATGATGCGACGAACCCGATCATTGCAGAAGACCTCATCGGTGCGTAATGAGCATTTCTCCATCGGACATTCAAGTTTGCGTTCGAAACGCTCAACGAGCCAGTTCACTTTGAGATGCACGCCTGTATACACCATGTTGTAGAAATGGCGGCTGGTGTGTTTTAGAGCGAGCGCATCTGGGTAAGAGAGGAAAGAGGCGATTTGCATATGAATTTCCGGAGGGAGATCTAGGAATAGAACTCCCGGTGTCATTGCAGACCGTGGTAAGGATGTTGGAGGTTGCATATTTGTAGTTGTTTGGGAAGATGAGATGAGGCTAAGGTGGAAAGAGGGATCCCCGGTCTAGACTTGCTTATGAAGGTCCACAACACTGCTGCCTGTGTTTCGGTCACATTGACTTGCTTACCGCTGTGAGTTAGTCGAAGTTCGCTATTGCTTCGGTTAGGAGATGTATACATGTTAGGGTTATTTTTGGAGGTTGCCTACGATCGGGGTAACTCAAAGGCAGCAACGAAGTGACTGAATAAGTCCACAGTTCCAGTCAGCCATAGTTCTCCTTGAATAAGTGCGTAGATGCTACAAGTACAATAAGTAGCAAATATATTCACGTACAGTTAACATATGCCTTTGTAAACACAGAAAACCCTCCCAAGGTTGAACCAGACCGCTTACCTAATGCCGCCACTGCGGACCTTGAATACCAAGCTTTTACCTCCAACTTTCACCATTCGAGCTTCCTCTTACACAAAACCACAACAATGTCCAAACAAAGCGCCGCCGGCGCCCCTCAGATACCGCTTTCCGCAAAACTTGGGATCGCGAAGAATACACCAAAAAGGCCGCCGACGAAGAAGCCAAACGCAAAGCCGAAGGCAAAGCCCGCTACGAAGCCAAACTACTCGGCAAAAAATACCATGCCCCGGTCGACTACAGCTCCCTCGAGGCTACGACTGCCCGTAGCTCACGGCTAGATGTGGCGTCGATGGTGGGAAAGACAACCATCGTGCCGGCCGGATCAGCACTCGGCAAGCGTGGACGTGGAGCGGGATTCTACTGCGCGGACTGTGACCTTACGTTCAAGGATAATATCCAGCTTGTGGAGCACTACAATAGCAAGCAGCATTTGATCGCGACTGGACAAAGTGGTGATGTGATGCGAGCTTCGGTTGGAGAGGTGCGGGAGCGGTTGAGGATGTTGATGCATCGAAAGAGAGTTCGGGAGGAAGAGGAGAGGAAGGCTTGGCAGTTGGATCTTGGAGAGCGCTTGCGGGAGCGGGAGGAGATTGATGCTAAGGAGAGAGAGGAACGGAGGCGCAAGCGCAATGAGAAGCGTCGGAAGGGTGGTGATGGTGTCAAGAAGGAAGATGATGGTTGGGAAGGCCGGCTGGGGATCATCGCCTGAGGATGACTGGATTCCGGGGATACGGCCTCTTTTATGATACCCATGGCGTTTTAGGCTCATATTTTACCTTTCTTTTCTCTCTACAACACATGAGTGTGAACCAAATAGTATTGTCATTGGATAATTGAAGCTGAAGAAATGTGACCATATTCAATCATAATAAACCACCCCCAAGACGCCAGAAGACACCATACCCATATCCAAGCAAATGACCAAAACACCAAGGAAACACGTATGCTCGTTTAATCAATACACTCGATGGCCTCGAGTCGCTGCATGCCTCGACTACCCTCTTTCTCAAACTGACCGACGAGCCGCTCGCATTCACGCTTGAGCCGCTCCTCGCCGTTCTTTGCATTCCACATGATCCATTCTTCCACGGACATTTTCTTCTCTGGACTAGTCAGTCCTCGCTTCATGCCACTGAAAAGTCCAGAAAGATCGGCATTCTCCTTGTCACTAGCCTCTCCAAATAGGGCTTCATCAATGTCCACCGGGGTCCAAGGATGACCCGAAGCCGCGAAACCACCGTTGAAATTGCGCTTAGATGGTGATGGGGTGGCTGCTGCCCGCGGAGTCCGATCCTGCGGTTCCACTGCTGGGACAGCTGGGCGGGATGTCGAGGGTCGAGATGATGGGGGCCGGTTCTCGGCATCAGAGGATTGTGGGGACATTGATGGTGTGTGCTGGCGGGCTGGTGGGAGGGGTGAAACAGATCGCTTAGATCCTCGAGATGCCCTCTGCATACTGCCTCGGGACACTTGTGGTTTCGTAATAGACTCGGTAAGATGCTCCTCCTGGGGAATATCGCTGAACCGTTTGACCGTCTTGGGAGGTACAGGCGTCCGCTGTTTTATCTGCGGCTCTGGGGAAGGTTCTGGGGAAAGTTCTTCGGGTGCAACCATCTCAACTTGATCTGGTAAATCATCCGGTGTTCCCCATTCTTCATCTGCAGATGGAGACACAGGTTCAGGCTCGGCAACGGGCTCCTCAAAGTCTCCTCCATCACCGGCTCAGGGGATGGAGATGGCTCTTTCTTCTTAGTCTTTTTGGATTTCTTTGCCTTGTCTTCCTTCTTCGATGATTTTTTTGTCACAGGCTTCTCAGGAGTCTTCACTTCTGGGTCCTGTTGTGGCTTCGATTCGGGCTCAGCCTGAAATTCAGGCTGATACTCCGACTCCGGCTCAGGCTGTTGATTGACGATTTCGACCGATACGAATGATTCATGATGCTCATCCACAGGTTGGTCATCAGGTATGGGTTTGTTTTGAGAAGACTCTCGCGATGCCGAGGCCTTTGACTTGCTGTCTTCTTTCTTACTCTTCTTAGTTCCCTTCTTCTTAGAACCCTTGGCGGCCTTGGCCTTGGGAGCCGCTTCAACTTGCACCTCGGTCATCTCCATCGCATCCACATCGGGTTCGTCAATGGCCTCTGGTTCTTTCGCAGGCTGCTCCTCGTAGTTCATGGGATCTTCCAACTCCTGTGCTTGTTGCTCAGCCGCCTTGGCGGCCTTGGTTTTCTTGCTCGTTTTGGCTTTCTTCGAAGCACGAGGGGCGGGCTCGACTTCGGGCTCCGGCTCGGGTTCTGGCTCCACCGGGGGTTCAGACTCGACCTGCTCCGGTGCATCCGTCTCAAGACCTGCCTCGATAGCAGCATCTAGCTCTGAGTCACGGGGTAGACGGGATTTGGAAGTAGACTTCGACGCGGCTGAGGCATCAGAAGCCTTGCGGCTCTTGCTAGTGCCCTTCTTCGATCCCTTGCGGCCCTTCTTGTGCTCTTCTTCGGGTACTTCATCTGCAGGCGCCGCATCTGGCATCTCGTAATCGTGTTCGTGGTGGTAGGTTTGAGATACGCTACTGCTGCTTCGGGTCCTTGTGTTGCGGCGCTTGGACGGTGGCTCGATCGACGACTGCCCAGGCTCAGCCGATTCAGATTCATCCCGTACCATTTCTTCGCTGATCCTCTTCTTTCCTCGGCCTGCACGTTTGGTCTTGGGGGCTTCTGGCTCCGGCTGCACTTGTTCAATACTATCCAGCTCCATTTGGCTCTCGGCTTCAACTTCCTCTTTCTTGGTCTTGGTGGATTTGCCCTTGCCCTTCGCTCCCTTCTTTGTGGCTTTCGGCTTCACACTGGCCTGTGACATGATGCTCTGGTCCATTGATTCATCAAGGTCCTCTGGGGCTTCGGATGTGGTGGTGCCGACTGATTGGGTCGAGAGGCGAGAAGATGTCTTGGAAACGCGTGGCTTTTTTGATTTAGATCCTTTGCCTTTCTTTCCGGAGGGTTGCGCAAATACGAAGAAGGAGCATTCTGGTGCGCGACGATAGTGTTCCTCGCTGGGAAAGGTTTAGTGTCTGTTGCACTTTGTAATAGGCAAGAGCCATCGGCACTCACAATGGATCATCTTTGGGTTCCCAACCATCCAGGGAGAGCTTGCAGTAGGCACAAGTAGCCAAATCATTACTCTCTTCCGTCGGGCAGAAATACCATCCACCTTCGACCATCTGTCGGATTCATCAGAGTGTGATACAAATGAAGACGAGACCAAAAACCGAATTACCTTTTCCGATTGGCAGACCCAGCCCCGTTTCTCATCATGGGGCCACGCCGAGCCAAATGTCGCCAACCGTGCCTGGGTGATACGCTCGCTGGTCGGATCCTCAATAGCTGAGGGATTGGAGCTGTTCTGTTGAATATCCATAGTAATCGCCCATCCACAGTCCGGAGAGTGCTTGAGGTGCTCCGTTATCGGGTTATCTTCCTCCTCCCATCCATCCAATGCGCGACCGCACTCGAAACATGTTGTGTTATCGGGGTTGCTTTCGTAGGGTTTATAGAAGAAGCCTGCTTGCGCCAACTAGAATTAATTTGCGTTAGAGATGAAAGATCAACATTCTACTTCATTAAATTGTACCTCTGCAGGGGAAGGCTTTGAATGAGGCCATGCGATGAATCTGGGGCCTTTGACGCCCGAAGATCTTCGCTTCTCGGGCTTGAGTACAACATCGAAGCTGGCCAGGCGGGCCGCGAATGTGTCCATTTCCGAGCCCATGATGTAATCTAATCGAAAATAGGACAGTCGGTCCTCAGTCCCAGGTCGGGAGTCGAAAGCCGGTGCTGGTTTTCGAGGGCGCGGGGTTGGTGGTCGATGTTGATGCGGTCTGTTTACACTGTTGATAGCGTTGTTATGCGAAACGCGAATACACGTGATAATATTATGTCATCGATTCCGACGTCAGACTCACGGGATTTGGGAATTGTTGTTGAGCCAGCGTGGGACTAATTCAACCCATCTGCTCTTGCCATTGACTTTTCTCATTTACGCTCCATGATCTGGGACTGTGATATTCTTTGATCTTTCTGATCTATCCTGAGCCGTGCGCTCCGCTCCTTATCCGAACCGCGCCTATGCGATCAGCTGTACGAACCTGAACCCTAATTGATGAAAATCGAGACCAGGGAAAGAACGACTTGCTAATTCCCTTTGTTCTTAGATGATTTCCCGGGGTAGCATTCCCAGCTCTCTCTGTAGGGCTCATCTTCGTTACTCGGCTCTCCCGAGGTTGCCCGCTTCAGTTCGTTGTTTCGCAATCGATTCCCGCTCGACTCTAGACTCTCCTTTGATCCGATCTGCGAATGCCAGTCCTTCCAATTCATCATTATTATACAATGTTCCTTCTCAATTATCCTCCTCTGCCTCATTCTCCACCTCTTCCTCGTTGTCCGAGACGGATTGGGACCATAACCCGAATCTCCAAATTTCCAACTTCTCCGAGCTTCCATCCAAGGACTTCGGAGTCAACCAGCACATGATAATCAACCAGGAATTCAAGGAAGCTTTGCGACAAATTCTGTGGCAATTCCGGGCACCTATCCGCTATGCATTCGCCTATGGTTCGGGAGTCTTCGCGCAGAATGGCAGTGCAGTTTCCTCCACCCCAACCCATCCATCAGCGCCGGCTGCCATTCAGAAGATGCAACAGGGGCCCGGGAAGATGATTGATTTTATTTTTGGAGTGTCATACTCTCAACACTGGCACGCACTGAATTTGAATCAACATCGCGATCACTACTCCGGACTGGGTTCCCTTGGTTCATATGCGGTTTCCCAAGTCCAGGACCGATTTGGAGCCGGTGTATACTTCAACACCCATGTTACAGTAAGCGGAACGCTTATCAAATATGGCGTTGTGAATTTGGACACGTTGTGTCAGGACCTTACCCGATGGGACACCTTATACCTTGCCGGGCGCTTGCAAAAGCCCGTCAAGATCCTTCGCGACCACCCCAAGGTCCGATTGGCCAATCAGATGAACCTTTTGTCTGCTCTCCGGGTGGCTTTGCTGCTACTTCCAGAGCGGTTTAGCGAGTTTGAACTCTATAGCACCATCGCAGGCATCAGTTACATGGGCGACCTGCGAATGGTGCTATCGGCAGAGGATCCCGGCAAGGTACGCAATATTGTTTCCGGACAGATGGCACACTTCCGACGTCTATATGCCCCTCTCATCAACACCCTACCCAATGTTTCTTTCCAAGATCCGCGCTGCAGCCAAGATGACTGGATTGATGACCCAGATGCCATCATGGGGATGGCACAGGACATGGACCCGGTCCGGCGCGGAAACATGGTCCGCCGTCTTCCTGAATCATTCCGCGATAAGCTGTTCTTCCAATACCAAGGCCGCTATGCGATTCCCCGCGCCGAATTCAATAAGATGATGGCGGAGAACAACAACACACAAGATATCGTTCGGCGGCCCCAGGGAGGTCCTTTTGAGCGCCGGATTGCTAGTGATGAGAAGCTACAAGGGGAGGTGTCTACGGCAATTAAGAAGACGATCCGATGGCCCAGCACGATCCAGACTATCAAGGGGACCTTGACAGCAGGTCTTGGCAAGAGTTGGTACTATATCAAGGAGAAGCGGGAAAAGCACAGAAAGTCTCAGCTAGTTGCCAAGGCGGCGACTACAAATGCTGACAAAAAGAAGGAGTAAAGATAAATTGTGGCATATTGAACGAATCATCGGAGTAGACAGGCATTCATGGGCGTTGTGTGGCCCTTGTGTGGCCCTTGTGTTCCAATCATTGTATTCAACATCTATGCATCTGCAAAAATAAAATGCACCTACAGTTCCTGACAATAAAATATACAAAGCCATTCCAAAGGTTGTGACTATCACGAATCCGACATTCTCCACACCTAAGCAGTACATCAACCAATCAAGTTACCTAGCAAGAACGGCGAAACTATGTTCCATTGAACATACTATCGCTCCCGAACACTGTCACTCTTATTTCTCCATTTTGCTGAACGAATGCATCGTTCAATCCAGGGCTTGAACCTGAGTCGTCTAGGACTTTGGAATAATAGCCATTTTTCTGTTGCTACTAGGGTAAGGTCGGATGGTGCTCTACAGTGTCACCACCCTCCAAGGGTTTAAGAATCCCTAGAAACAATGATAACATCTGAGCCTTGGAAGGGGGACAAACAATTCACTTGTTCTGCGCTTGAGGATGGATGCTAGGCATGCCGCTCTACTTTGCTCCCCTCTAGATGATAATCGGCCACGCAACGAAAAATTTGCAATAGACCTTTGAGCCTGTAGAGTGAAGGATTTGTTTCTCTATTCAATCTCCCAGTTACATCTGATTGCAGTCATTTGCCTACTTATAATTTTGTGAGTCATGAGGACCTTAATGGGGATAGATTGCTCCGCTTCACTCCTCATATTCAAGCTATATATCTTGACTTGAAATAATCCACTACCATGCAATTCACTACTTGCATCAAAGTTGATAACATCTACGCGAAAAACAAAACCACAAAACAGGTCATTCACATATAGTCGCTGTAAATAAGTGGGGTAATTTTCAAGAGGGGTACGAGAGGCCTGGCAGTGAGGCATATGTAGCTAGCCTGTTGAATGCTTGTTGCGAGATGATATGTTCCAGAAAGCAAGAAGTTCTGGTGAATAGCGCCACTTTGATTCTAAGCCTTTCTCAATCCCTGGAGTTGTTAAGTGAATCAATCCGTAGTAATACCTCTTCAATATTTTTATTCACTAGTCAGTGGTGTCAACGCACCAAATAAGAGACATCATGTATTCACTTTCGATAAGAAAAAGTGAATAGTCGAGCTACGTAGATATATAAAGCTCAAAGATTGCAACAGGTCGAGCTTGAGGATCACGTTCTTTCCAACCATTTTTTTCTTCATCATGGCCAATGTAAGTCGAAAGTTGTCCACGGAAGGTTTTCGCATTACTGATATATATGTTTAGTACTACAATATGCAAGCTGTTCGTGAAGAGATCGACCGTGTTCCTCGTGCCGGGCATGAGAGCATTGTCTATGGGGTATGGAATGCCATCTTGAGTTCCATCTTTACCCCCCAAAATGGCTACATTGTTCGGCCTCAAGATGTACATACCTCGCAGTCTGGAGCCCGAGGATATTCCGATTTGCACGTGTTTCACTACCTCCCTGGTGCCAGACGTGCGACAAAGTTCCTGATTGTCCAATGCAAGCGTGCTGGCGGCGAAACCCAACCCTCCGTGTGGCGCGAAGGTGTTGCTCAGCTACACCAATACACTGCAGCTACCCATGGAATTCGAGCCGTTCCGGACAGAAGACCGGTATATGGAATCGTCGCGATAGGAAACTGCCTGCGATTCTACTATTACCATGAGGCTTCATCAACAATTCGAGATTTTTGGCGCAGCTCAGTGCATCCTAACCCACGACTAGGTGGCATTTGTGATCACAAGACTCACCACGATTTTATCCGGGAAATGCTGATTCATATTCGAACCAACCACTAGGCTTTAGCTTTGACAATTTGTGCATGCATCATGCGTTGTTATCCACGTTTGAGTCAATCTTTTGAAGTTCACCTACCCATTTTCTATTTTCATGATATCTGAAATTTTTTCAATCTTCTCATTCTTGGATGGTAGGATGCTATGTGGTGCATAATGATTGTAAAGGGCATCGTGTTAAAGTAAAAATAAATGAAGAGTCGCACTGTTACGTAATTGGGTTTTTCCTAACTAACAACAGTCATGGGTTTCGAGCAAGCTAAGGGCTCTAGATGACAAGGCATCCGTTAAAGGCCAAAAAGCATACATTAATTGTTGGGCCTGGCCATGCATCTTTAAGCCGCCAGAATGGTTGGAATACCGGAATACCCCATACGACAAGAGAAGTAAATCAGAATCACTATATACTGGCACTTCTGTTCCAATCATTGTCCAATATATATGCACTTACACCTGGGCAGTCCCTGACAACTAAACATACAAATTATTCGCAATTATCACGCATTCGACACCCTCCATATCAGCCACCAAAGTGAATACTGATGGCTAACTCTCAGATTAATTGTTACAGTGACCCCTTTTTCTCCACGACTGTTGAAAGCGTCATTTCAATATATAGATGCATTACCATGCACGTGACTGGGGTTCTATCCTCTCTTTCCTTCTCTTCATTACCATCGTGTATAAGATTCCATGCATCGGCTTTGATCACACCGTGCTCTGAAAACGAGGCGATCAATTATGACACATACTGCAAAAGTCAAGCTTTGTACGATGACGCTTTCTTTACGTTTACTACTAGATCTGGACCTCGAATCGACCTTGTTCTTTCTCGTTGTACTGCTAATTACCACGTCACTACAAAATACTAATATTGTCTTTTCGTTTTCCTTTCTTCATTTCACCTGCTTCTCACAATACTGTCTGATTCTTCATTCCCGGCATAATCCCGGCATAGATCAATAATTTTCCGCTTGTTTGGTTCGATCTCTCGAACTGCAATATGCCAGACAGACACATCTTAGAGCTACACGAGGATTGCTGTGCCTCGTCAGCATCTTGTGTACTTTGTGGCGTACGAATTCTGAGTATAGGCGACGCAACATGGTCTGAAAGAACCATGGATGTTCTCCAAGAGGATGAATTTGAATCTCATCGCAAAACCGGGCCGACTCGCCAGCATGTTTTAGCGCCATCGGCTAAAGTCGCGAATGCGAATTTCTCAAAATTTCCTTGGTTAGCATCCTGCTATTACCGAGCAGGTAAGTCATGATTGGCCGAATCTCGTATCTCATATTAAGTGATCCTCTAGTGGTGTGGTCGCCCTCTTCCTCGAAGTGGCATCTCACAGGAATTGATTCACCTCCAGCATACAGGTTTGTGCCTTTTTTTGTTCCCAGGAATAAAAATACTGCACGAATTTGTGGTAGAGATGGTAGAAATCAGGTAGCGCATTACAATAATGCGCTATTTATGCGATATTATCAAGGAGATGTCCATTTACGAACACAACCCAGACGCTACAGAGACAAAAACATCGGTTACCTGTTCCATCCTCACTGTTGGGAGATATTGGGTCATCTTTTAGGGCATGAAGTGATTGAGAAGAAACTTGGTAAAGTTATTCGGTCCGTGAGAAAGTATTGGCTCAAGCGTACCTTGAGGTACATGGATTTTTCTCTTGATGAAATGCTTGGTACCTGGGACATGGATACCTTTTTCCGCGCAAATTACCATGATGAGGTTGCGTACGCCAAGTACCAAGAGTACTCCTATGGTTGCGACATCCACATTAGCTCTTGGGTTGTGCCTGAAGTTCAGAATACAATCAAGTTAGCTCGAGCTCAAAGAACAGAAAGGAAGAGCTCTTACCTCAGCAAACTGCCACTCGAAATATGTCTCATCGTATTAGAGGTCATTTGCCCTCTGGATTTCACTCAATGTGATGTGCAATGTACACGCAACATGTTATCGGTGTTTGTATTGGATGTACCAGAATTCTTTTGGAGAAGCCGGTTACAGACCAATCGCGATTTGTTCTTTGAGGTAGACTGTATAACAGACCATGATTCTCTGGACTGGCAATACTTGTGGCTTGGCTTGATGGATCTCCTTGCCGATCATACTTGGTTTATCTCCAGCGGCTTAGCAACTCGCAAACGAGCACTTCGGTCGATCAAACCAATTGTGTCCCATTTTAAAAGCCTCCGTTGAGGGATATGATTTGCTGAGGATTGGAAGGCGCATACGACGTGGTCGTTGGGCTTCCAAGGTTTTGCTTATGGGAATGTCTGTTCCAAAGAATACTTCATGCGGTTGCCAAGCAGATCATACGAGGGCTACCACCACCAGAACCGTGGCAACTTCTCTTTGCTATTTTAGCCCAGCTGACTTGCAATTTTTCCGTTTCCGCTTTCAGGACATATGAGGAGGAATTGGTTGGATGTAACTTGGGCCGTTTTGAAGATTGGTCGGATTAACCTCCCGCTCTTTGAAACTCGGGCCGCACCAGTTCATATGGGCTCGGAACTTAACGCTGCGCCTTACCTGGCCAAGCAGTCTAGACCAAAGCAATTGATTTCATAAGATAAACATACCTACCAAAATTCCCACTTGATTGTTCAACGGGTGCTAGAGCTCTCAATAGATCCCAATAAGGTCTAGATCACTCTATAATGAGGCTTCGAAATGTAAATCACACACCTGGATAGGAGATCATCATGACCTCAAGGATTTATTGTAGAAGCATCGGTATTTAATTCGCTCCATTATACTTGTCATACATTGGCGATCACTGTACCGCATGGTATCACATATCACCTTCTCCACCAGATAATATTTCAACTCCCACGACCGCGTTACTGCAGCATAACGTATTGCAATTCATCAGATCCAAAATGAGGTGTGACTTCTTGCTATTATCATTATTCGTCTGGTCCCTTCTCTGTGTGCCAACTCTTGGATGGGGAGATGTCGGCCACCGCACTGTTGCCTATCTCGCCGAGCAGCATCTCACCGAGCAGGGCAAAGACTTTCTCAATGACCTCTTGCCTCGTACCCGGGATTTTGATATCTCAGACGCTGCCACCTGGGCTGACACAATCAAGCATCGTGGACGCCCTGAGACTGGAGTTTGGCACTATGTTGGTATGTTGCAATTCTCTCTTTGATGATCTAACAATTAAATTGATTGATACCCTTGCGAATATAGATGTGAAGGATGATCCTTTGGGGAACCACTGCAAGATATCACCTCTCCCCCCGGTTTGCAAAAACAAAGGCTGCATCATCTCAGCAATAAAGGAAATGGTAAGGCTTTCCCTTTGATTGCAGTGACTAAAGCAAACCTAAGTGGCCATAGACCAAGCAAGTGAACGATGAAAACTTCAATCAAACAGAAGCTGTTATGTTCTTGTTTCACTTCATTGGGGACATCCATATGCCCCTCCATGTGGAAGAGTACCAAAAAGGAGGTAACCTGATAAAAGTCTCTTTCGACGGTCGTCAAGGGAACCTTCACGGTATTTGGGACACAGATATGCCACACAAGATTAACGGCATCAGGCACAATATCAAGCATAACAATGAAAAGCCGGCATCCCTAAAGTGGGCCAAGCATCTCCTCCAAAAGAACCAACACAGGCCGACAACCGCTGTGGAATGTGCGGATGTGACCAACCCTGACGTCTGTGTCAAGAAGTGGGCAAAGGAGGCCAATCATCTTAATTGTGCTGTTGTTTTCAAGAGAGGACTTCCGTATATTGAGGGCACAGATCTTGCGGATGAGTACTATGATGATGCTGCGCCGATCATTGCAGAACAGATCTATAAAGCGGGCGTGCGCCTGGCAGCCTGGATCAATGCCCTTGCAGAGCAGCGACACGAGAAAGAGGCCTTTGTCGTCCAAGGAGATCGGATGAGGGATCTATGAAGTTCTTTAGGTGAATGATCCTTTGGTGATTTTGAACGGTTCCCGTCAGAGAGTAATATTGATTAAAAGTGCTATTTCATGTTTTCTATAATATGGATTCTAGAAATGCTGCAATCCCCAAGTTTCACTAAATTGAATAGCATTTATTCCTTACGAACCCCTTTGATTTAACCCATACACGCAGCATTTACTACTGGTTGCTACTTATCTTTTGAAATGATGGATTAAGGAATGAACACATAAGACTAGTCAAAGTTCTACGAGCTCAAGGGAGTCTCGAGCAGCAAAATAATTGAATTGAATAATGGTTTCAGCAATTTCATCCTGAGCAGGATCTCGCAGACGTCCATATTAGACACCTGGGCTGAAGTTCAAAGATTCATTCAAACCATCTTGGAACCATGGCTACTTATCCCTTCAGCCTTGGCGAATCGTATGAATTTTCATCTTGTAAATGCGAACCTTGGGGAATCTGAGAATGTTCCAACATCTGATAGATTGGAACAAGAAAGGCTTGCAGTGATTTCCAATGTAGATAGCGATTGATGTGCTTGGCGGGGGCGATTACTTCCTTTTGAGGTCAAAAGAACCCTGGAAGGTAGAACGCCCTTCGGGTAACGTATTGAAAGTTATTTTCTTGGGTCATCTGGAGTTCATGTCACTGATAAAGTTTCACAACCTTACTCCGCGGACCAAACTATCTGTATCCCCACGGATAATGCACTTCTAGACCTCACCAAGCCCAATCCGAGACACCTCTTCCAGCTCCCGAAGTCAACATACCGTATGGGCTGACCTGGGCGGTTTTAGTTGGGCTTTGACGAGGTTCTAGTTTTTGCAAATGATGGTCCTTGTTCATAATTACGTCAGTCTAACCTGGTGAGCTCGACATATCCAGTGACTCTGTCCGTCTCTGTGTATATACGTATGTCTAAAGTATTGAACAAGCGTTGCTTAGTTAGTCAATTATTTGCCCTCTTCACCCATTGAAGCAGCAGACAAAACGCTTTGATCATGGATCAAAAATCTCAAACTGGGAGCCCCCAGCTCTCCCGTCATTTGGTTTCGTACTTGCTATTCTTCTCTGTAATTTCCTTGACATGGGCAGTCCTTGCCAATGGACAAGGCCGTTCAGTTGCAAGGGAACCTATTTCTGAAACCACCTGCTCTGGCCAACGCTACAGTTACTATGGCCTAGCTGCCTACGGATCAGTTTCATCTAGTGCGACCGATCGGTATGGAGATACCCTAGGTGGGTTTGGAAGTGCGATTAGCTTCGACCAGTCGTCATGGAGTAAAGCTCAAGATGGTTCCTACAATGGTATGATCTGGGCAATGCCAGATCGTGGTTGGTATGTCTCTTAACCTACGAATTGGGAGTAGAAACGTGTGGCTGATTAACTACGGGTAGGAATACGAACGGCACTTTGAATTATCAGTCACGCATTCACAAGTTCTCCATTCACTTGGATGGCATAACTCCAAATGCCTCCGGTAGTGACAAAAGCCCGCCGAATATGCACTTGACTTATGTTGACTCAGTCCTGCTGACTGGACCGGACGATGTTCCTATCACTAGCTTGGATGCAGATGCGACCGGGTTTATATCTCACGATGGATTTCCTCCCCTCCCACGAGCAACCTATGACGGGGATGGTTTCGGTGCACCTGGTCTGACCAACCGCCGAATCGCGCTGGATTGCGAGGGTTTGGCGATAGATCCCGGGGGAGACTTTTGGGTCTCAGATGAATACGGCCCATATATCTACAGATTCTCGAAGCATGGCAAGATGCTCTTTGCCATTCAGCCCCCACCGGCATTTCTCCCTCTTCGGAATGGTACAGTCAGCTTTAGCGCAGGAGAGCCGCCAATGTTTGATCCGAATCGAGTTCCCAGTCCTCCTGATCCCACCGCTGGTCGAGCTAATAACCAAGGTCTGGAGGGGCTGACTATCTCGCCCGATGGAAAGTTTCTATACGCCATGATGCAGTCAGCCATGACCCAAGAAGGAGGACTAAAGAGAAAGCATCGACGACATGCGCGGCTCCTGGTGTATGATATCTCTGATAAGCTATCTCCGCATCTGGTGCACGAGTACGTGGTTACTCTACCTCCTTACGATACTGGCAGAGGTTCAGAGCCTGCATTGCAGTCGGAAATCCTTCGGCTTTCCAATGAACAGTTCTTGATTCTTGCCCGAGATTCAGGCTTCGGACGAGGAGCGGACAACAGCGAGTCCAGGTATCGCCACGTTGATGTTATTTCTACCGTTGGATCCAAAGACATTGCCCATAGTAAATGGGACTCGGTCAACGGTTCTATCGCCAGCGCCAAGGGGGTGCTTGATCCGGATATCCTGACGGCGACTTACTGCCCATTTTTGGATTTCAACGTGAATTCGGAGCTAGGTAAATTCGGGCTCCACAACGGTGGTAGCCAGGATAAGTTTCTTTTGAATGAGAAATGGGAGAGCCTTGCCCTGGTGCCTCTTGGTCAGGCGGATTCGAATGAAACCACAGAGTACCTCTTGTTTAGCTTTAGTGACAATGACTTTAAGACGCAAGAAGGTGAGATTCGATATCTTTACCACATTTCCCTTTGACCTCGTGCAATCTAATTTCGGCGACTACAGGCTACCAAAACTTTGGACGGTTTCGCTTTTCCGACGGATCTGGCGACAACATTGATACACAGATTTTGGCTTTCCGTATGAGTTACGAGCAAAGTTCCGCGGTCAGCCACAAGAATGAGCTGTAATCTACTGTCATACTACGTGAACGTTCGTACCCTTAAATTGATAGCTAATGTTTATTGTGGTGCTTATAACTGAGAAATTATCTCACAGTAACATTCATCAGTGCCTAGAAAGTGTAATTCAAGGCCTAGCATCCTCATTGCCTTCAGATACATAGAACTCTGGATGGTTGAAATTACTCTCCTCGCCAATTACATCAATAGCTGTGGTAAACTGGCCAGGGAAACTTATAAATAGGATATCAATTTAGGTGGATCCAGCGAACAAAATACATTGGTGTCTGCCAATTCAATTTTCTGTTCTGTTAGGCAGAGTGGATAAATTCACTTTTGATGGAGCCAAAGTCACAATGTCCCCTCCAATCAATCCTAATGAGCAAAAACAACCGGTCGCCCTTCAATTCCTTTCTTCTGAGAGCAATAGCTCACCCCGTCGACTTTGAGTCCCTGATCATTCACCAGCGTAATAGTATCACCGCGGCTAGCAAGAGGGCAGTTAGGAAGGGAAAAGGCACCGGTTGACATAGCACCCAGAGCTGCATCCTTTGGGAGTGCTTGGGATTGACCGGCTGAATTGTGAATCTTCCAGCGAGAGAGGGGCATGGTGTGGTCAGTCGGATTTGTGAGAGTGACAGATCTGCGTTGGAGACCATCGGGCCCAAGAGGCGCTACCAAGGCCTCCTTGATTCTCACGGAATTCTCCGTTAGGTCAGCTGGCTGTCTTTCCGAGTCTAGATAGTGTTCCCAAGTCTCGGATGTTATAGCATGACCTGTCTTGTCATCGGTGTGTACAGCTTGTGATGCGAAGCCGAGAAATACCCCCACCCATTCACCGGAGTCCGGATAGTTGATCAAAATGCCACCATCTTGGAAGACGCCATCATCTTTTTTAAATTTCCGAGTATTGCCCTGGTTCATATGAATGTTGTGAATACCATCTTGAGTATTGAACCGTGAGCCAAACAGGTAAATCTCGGCCTTCTTATCGATTGCCTGTTTTACCTCAGGCTCGAGGACATCGATCATATCATTGTTCGGACCTTCTATGTCATGGGGCAAGATTCGACCATCATTGATACAGAACAAATTGTCCCGGATGAAATCCAGATTTAGACCGGTACTGGATGTTCCTGACTCCCTGTCTCCGAGGGGATGAAAGCCCAGAGGTAGATCAGTGAGATCATTCACTTTGGGGTGCTGATTGAAGTTGTGATTCACCCAATAGGCAAGTCGAGATTCTTTCCTATCTCCAGACTTAATATTGATTGCCGCTCGGAAAAGTCCAGGAATCTCTCGCGCACTGGACCGACTTCGGTGAACATTGCGACTAGCATGGCGAGTTGGCTCTCCGCTGTCATCGAAGTATAGCGACAAGTGCGGGGATATCGAATCGTCCTCATTGTGTTCAACTGTGTACTGCACAGGAGTTGCCTTCCACACACCGTAATCTCTGATTGGCATGCTGATTGAGATGAAATGATTATATAACCGTTGGAAGTTTGTTTGTTTCTTGAACGATAATTTCTGATGATTGAATAACGCGAAGTATAGGGTGTTTTTATAGACGAATATACGAGAAGATCAGCTTGGGGGTCGGGTGACCCAGGTGAGACAGTATTATGTTCCAAGGTAATTGTTAATATGGGTGGTGGCTTGACACTGTAGAGAAGGTGCATTTGATGATGGGAGTCCGTATCAAATGCAATGCTCAAGACCAATCTAGACTCTTGGATCTGCCCATGTCTGTACTTCTTGGCACCGTCCCTTTGCATACAGAAAGAATAGTCATGGCGTTCTGGTTACCTTGATGGATACAATCTGCCCGCGTCTGGACCTCATTTTCAATAGCTACCTATTTGTACAGCCATATGGCTTTGAGTTATCCGGGTACAGTATGCGGATCTCGAGGACCCACAGTCTTCCCATATTGACGGATTGAACCTAACTCCAAACTCTACGTGATATAAAAGATTTATTCAGAAGACCATTACCCTAGTCTTTGGAGGACCATGTTCAAAACTCTGGCTGAGATATCCTAATGTCCTTTGAGCGTGACGAGCAAATGGATCATGAACCATGTCTAATTCTCTGCAAGCTGCCTTATTCGTCGGCCAGGGAATGCGAATATTCCTACGAGACTGACCAATCATCAATCTATTAAATGTATTACCCTCCAATTAGCGGCTGAACAAAAAACACGAGACTAATATCAATATTCACCAAGCATACGGGCATTTTCCAGGGATCGTCAGTCTTGGCCAGAAACACATATTCGGTAAGCATCATTTCAACAGATCGCCGTTTCCAGCACACGGTATTCCACTTTCCATCTGTATTTAATTTAGAGTTAAGCTGATCCACCTTTCACAACGTGAGATCCGGCGGCCACTAATATAACTTAATACATGCTCCGAGGCTTGTGTTAGAGCGACCTAGAATATTCAATGAATTCCTTGGCGAATTTAGACAACTTTTTCAAAGTTCACCCTGCTTCACGCTCTTGGCATTGAGTCGTATAATCCTTGCAGTCGATTTTAAGTACTGATGGTGTGATATATTTCCGGAATTATGACATCATTCTGACCAGTGGACAAGGTGCTCGTATAATGTATCCTTGGCGACGAGCTTTTTATTCTATAAGATCACTGTCTAGTTTAAATAGCCCATTGAGTGATGATTGGATGAGAGATACCACTATGGTGATGATGTGTCCGTTGACAGCTTTCCAGATTGACGACTTCGGGAAGTATATACTCCATTTGTTTGTTTGGCTTGCCACTTTGCGTGGATTAGGGAAGGGGGAATATTTGGCCTTGTGATCATGACGCATTTATTTGATGGATGGAGTGATCCAGAAATCTAGAGGACAAAGAAATGTTTTCAACGAAATAGTAAACAGTCATAGTAAATGTTCTGGGGGTTAGTTTGTTAGGCATATCGTTAGTCATGTCACATGTGACTGGATTGAGATCTGGTGTACAAATCACATGATTCACGATTAAATATCCTCTCTCTAGGCACCCGCCAGACTCCGTAAGCGCTTAAAAATAACAAAATCAAGAATCATCTAGTCAATATATCTGCCAGGAAGAACCCCACGAGTACACTACCTAAAGTCTCTCAGATACTAAAGCAGATCACATGTTCATATAAATCGATATAATCACCATCTCCTACAGGCTACAACTGATAACTCATTTGTCTTACATTTTCATTATAAGACATCGACGGAGAGCGCTTCTTTAGCCATGAAAGTTACCATGACACTCAAGCGAGTCCCTTCTCTTGAGGACATCTCTTTTATCAAAAGCTCACTCAGAGAGATCCATCCCGACACCACCGAAACATCACGCGAAAGCCTCTGTCTCAGCTTTACGGCCCCTACAAGCGACGTTGACTCTTTCAGTGATCTGTTCAAATCTTGGCTCGGCTCACCGGACTCAATAATGGAGGGTTATCACATGGTGGACGATATCTGATCCATTTTCCTTCTCGCTTCCATCACTCTGTGGCACCGCCCACACGTTCATATAGTGAGACCAGTCAAGCAATACCAGCCCCACCTTTAACATTGTAATTCTGGGTCTACGTGGCTGTAAGCTACGGAAGCACACTGGCGCATTGATTGTCGCCGTCATTTGCAATGGGTACACCGTACACATTTAATGGTGGAGAAGAGTTCAAGGTGTGTCTATACGAAGGAAAATACTGTGATGGGATGTCGAGAAAGATAATGGGGGAAGTGTGCGCTGCCTTGGCTTGAATAGCCCTCTGTTTCCAGCCAGATTATAGCAAGTCAGAAGCAATGGCATTCATTGGCAGATGATTCGCGCTGATTCGAATAGAAGAATGAGTCATGCAATGGGTAGCAAGAAGGGAACGAGGAAAACAAAGAGTGATGAGCTGAATATCTATAAAAGAGAATAGGAAGAAACAGATAGAAGAGAAAACCCAAAGTGCCATCAACATTCCCAACCCTCAACACCTTTAATTTTCAAATAGCGCATAACTACTCGTCCCAGAGTGCTTTGAACATACTAGGACCAGCAAACAAGTATGTCGGGGCTCTCTCCTTGACAAATCCATCCTCCTTCATGATCAGAATTATGTCATAATCCCGAATGCAGTGCAATTCATGAGTCACTGCAACCACTGTGGCGTCTTTGGAGTGTTTCAGAATTAATTGAAATATTGATTGAAGCATTTTCATATCTACGCTGCCACTGATCTCATCTTGAACAAGAATTTTCGTACTAGCCTTGTGGAGAAGCGCTCTCTTGCCAAGCTCACCAATTGCCACTGGCCGAGTGTGAAAGCTGCCTCACTTAATGTTAGAGTCCTGATGAAGACTACTTGCCATCCTGTCACTACTTAGGCTCTATCTTCAAAGATCCTCTTCTCCTCCTTGTCGCTACCCAGTATTACACTAAGTACCATATTATATTGCTTCCATTCAGTTCGCATACTTAGCAGCAGGTCCGAGGAATGATGGAATTTTCTTCATGGATCCTTTCACCGTCCCACCGTGTTCAACGAAGAAACGATTGCGCTGTCGGTGGCCAGCCTCTTAGGATTTAGGCTGAAGCGAAGTGAACCAGGCAATATGAGAGGAGATCTCGTGGGATGATAGTAAGAAAATCTTGGATAAGTGAATTGTATCTGCCCAAGATGCTATATTCAGGAGAAATGGTATGAAGAAGAATCTGCGCTTCCATTTGCAAGAAGCGTAGTTACCGTGAGGTGCGTAATTAAAATGCCTGTAATCCGGAGAGCATCATCACCATGAATGGTAGGGTTATTGTAATGTACTTGTTGCCAGCAGCAATAAGCATAACTCGGCGATCGCAATACGGACACCAGCAATAGTCAAAGTAAGCGCAGCCGATAGTTGACTGTCACTCTGAAAGAGACCTTGGCTGACTCTATCTTGTTAAGGCATCCAATTTTGCTGATCCATGGGCCTAGAGTTTAAGCTTAGGAGTGAGACGTCATTTCCCGCTGTATGACCATCATGTCACCATATTGAATAAAAGTCTATGATGAAGCTTTCGCCGACCGGGGGGAAATCATAATAGAGAGAAAGAAATCCTGGAACGAGTAGGCAGAAAATCAGATTTGATACTTCGACTTAAATGGGTTGCTTTAATTGTCTCCCGAGTGTCTATTCGACATCCTGGCCCGTTTACCCGTATGTTGGGGAAAGTGATCGGCGCATAGAAGCTCGGCAGGCTTCATGGACCATAGCTACGTCGCAGTACTAGGTCCAAAATCCGTGAGCAGGAAAAAATTAAATCGATCAATATTGGTATGGTTGTACAGGTAGCCCCGGCAGTAATTAGTGGACTAACAGCTTGGACCGATCGAAGTACCTAAAAGCGAGGATAGATTCGATGTCTAGATCTTCCTTACCTACAACACGTATTTAAAACAGTTATTTCCCGATAGCCTACGCAGATTGCAGATGTTCATAGTTCAATTGGACATCATAACAGTTGAGCAAACAGAGGGTAGTGCACGCAGTTAAAAGGCACACACGCGCCCAATCCGTTCGATGTGGATTAGGATCACCACAGGTTGATTTTCTGATTGTGATTTATCCCCCGTCTATCATCGTGACGGGCAGGTTGCCAGCGGAGGCATCAGATAGCATCTTGTTATATTGACGTCATTGGCAGAGTTTCCTGGGTTCAAGGAGTTATCTCACGTAGGATACTTGTCCTATTTGGGTGAATCGGGTGAATCGAGATCTCACCGCTACGTGACGTCTATGATCAAATCGTATGAAGTATGAAGGAATAGTGACACTAAAGACGCGGGGGTGCATTTGGGAAGCTGTTCCATGGTACAAGCAACTCTAAGTGTTTAAAATCAAGGATAACCGGGATCGATCGGCGGCAATCGATCGATCTTGAGTCTAAATCAAGAAGCTAAAAAGATTTACTGCGAAAAGTGGGTGGCATTTCCCAAGCACTGAGTCCTATGTCACTGCATTTTTGCGATTTTTCACTAAATTCACGACTTGATTTTCTTCACGTAAAATTCCACAAGCCCTTGCCAAAACTAGAAGCTGTTATTCATACGACTATTGTCCTCCGCGGTGAATCAAAATGTGGAAGAGTTACAATTGGAGCACAGATGTTTAGAAATCAGATATGATTTATTCAAGTTTATCTAGTGAGAAGCAAAGTAGAACCCGATATAAGTGTCATGTAAAGACCGATAGATAAGGACATTTGCGAATCAATAAGCTCCGGCTGGCAAATCATCCTCGTCTGGTCCTTCGTTATACTTGTTCGAAGTCTGAGGTTTGGCATGGCGAAGGCGATCTCCCTTCAAAATGTTGGACTTGTCTACCGCCTCATTCTCGTCCGCCGCTATTTTCGTTAATGGCTTGATCGCTTGCATGTTGATTAAGAAGGATTGTTAAACTTACCGAGCTGCTGATCAGAGTTGGAGTATGAAGAATCAATGGGGTCTTCAATTTCCTCATTGTCTCCTTGGACAGGAACTTGATCTTTCAAGCTTGAGTTGGTCTCTCCTGCATAGGAGTTGTCTTCCTCATAATCCTCGACGTGATCCGACATTTTGATGTATCAGGTAGAATTCAGTAATGTGATATAAAGTTGTTTGACTAGAAGAATCTCTTTAGACGAAGAAGAAAATAACGTTTTATATACCGCTCTATGGGATTCAAGACCTGTTTTTGACACCAGACATTACGTAGTCTAAGCTTGCCCGCAGCAATTGTTGTATAACCTTCCTGACGCATGAGATACGTAATTCAAAGCTGGTGGCAACCACATATCAAGATAAAATATTGGTCTAGAGTAAAGTTCGCCATACGAAGTTATAAGCCAAGATATCGGTGAGTGCAACAAGCATGGAATCTCAGTATCATCATGCTAGGGCCCTGTTTGAAGCCATCCAAAAACCTACCTCTGGCATTGAGACCTTCTCAGCTTGGAGTCCTGTATTCAGAAATCAAGAGTGAGGGTCTTTCGTGACTTGGCATTTCGCCCTCCTTTAAATTGATCGAGTGGGAGAACTTCACCATGAGGCTTTACCCTTGATCCTTATTGTTTAGGTACTAGCAGTAGGGCAAGACCGACAATTACTGCATGCTAGACTGGATGCGATGTCATGAGCCTGGTATAGAATCGCGGGGCCCAACATGCAGTTGAAGACAGTTTTGGCAGTGATGATTTCTAATGCACCAAGTGTCTCGTCTAGTACAAAGAGCTTCCTGCGCGAGTATAGGCTGTGTCGGCATGATGCACGGTGCTGTACCACTCATCGTCAAAAATGAAGAAGACCCAATCACTGGTCCTCAAACAGTAACGTTTGCGAACCAGGGCTCTTTGTGCGTAGTAAGCAATCCTCATAATGAATTGCAAAAAAAAAAAAAAAAAAAAAAACCAGCAACAAGGCTATGCCCCTATGATACCCTTGAGTAAGGAAAACTTCCCAGAACCGACAGAATCTGTGACGATCATCAGGGTGGAGTCGACCTCAATTTTCACATCAGTCAAGACTGGTGTCGGAGCTCCGGAGTACTTGAAGCTTAAATTGAGCAATGATAGATATCCCGGGTATTTCTCTGGTCAATAATCGAGCGTACTTATTCTATGGCTAGAGGTTTCTTTTATCTACAACGAAGACCTGACCGCTGCTACTATATTTGTCGCTTTAAGCCCCCATCATAAAGGGTAATCTTAGTTTCACTGTAACTAACCGACAGCGGCGCCAAACTGGGTGATTTCGCGAACAGAATGCTGGATCATTAGAGTTGAGAGACTAACTAGGACGAGAATACCAAAGAATAGTGTTAAGGTGATCGCATTACGCCCCCTTGTGAGTGCGAAAATGGCAAATCTGGAGTAAGAATTTGCCCAGCAATCTCTCGCCTATTTTCTATCGCTTTGAATAAGCAGTTAGATATACCTTACTGACCTCTCATTTTACCAGAATATATACCAATAATTTTCCTCCTTATATGAGACTCCCCAGAGCGCTCGAGCTCTATGACACGGAGATTGATTATACGTTCCCGAATAAAGCGAGAGACGCCGAGTAACTTGACGCTTCGAGAATAATTCGTAACAGAAAAGTGGCTATAACACGCTCTTACCTTGTATTGCTTGGTTACTTTTTTTTTTTTTTTTGGTGTGATGGTGAATGGAAAGTGCGCCTTTTCAAATAGGGCAACCACTATTATGCTTTGGTCATCGATATTGTGCTATAACGTTTTTATGACCTGATCAAACCCCCCTTACTAATATAGTCTGTTTCATGGTTGCTTAGTCGTCTAGCACATACAGCAATACCAAGATAAGTAAGCACCGTAGCTCTAATAAGCGCCCTGCTGAGATCCCCGTTTATAGAGCTAGTGGAAGCCCTAGAGGTAATCTATCATGCGATAAATCAGTGACAGCTGGACGAAGTGAGATTCAACTGAATATGAATGAAGTTCCCTTAGTAAAATTCGTCGAATAACACTATTGCAAAAACATGGCGATTTTATATGGAGTTTTTGGATGCCACATGGATGTGACAGGTTAGCGGTTGAAACCTTAAATGAATTATGAAAAGTGTACGCCTAGAAATGGTACGGGACAATAAAGTTCCAGCAATAACAGGGACGCTCCCAAATGTGTGAGGTTATTCTCTAATGAATCATATGCTGAAGAAAAGATAAATGCAGGTCATATATGAGGGACACAGACTTTCTATGCTCGATCCACGATAGAACAAGACTACCAAGCGAACATCTCATTGTAGGGAAACCGACAAAAGGTTGCCTTCGTTGCGATGCCGTGGAACTATCGCCCATAGCACAAGTACAGCTAGTTAATTAAATATACAATAATATCTTAGCAAGGATCGATAAGTTGGCTTGCTTTTTGGTTGTGTCACTTTCGTCAACTGCCGCAGAAGTCGTTCCTCTCAGGAATCAAAGACTTCAAGACGTGCAATGTCACATTACATATGTGGACATGCTCCAACTCTACTAGGTCAGTATTGATCATGAAAGCGGAAATACTCAGCTGATAGCTGATTGATACATTCTGGATGCTTTTCAAAGCTGTCGTGCTTTTGTGAATGCTGAGCCTAATAAGAACCTAGACGGCAAATGAAAGCAGATTAGAATCATAAGCCCTATGACTCACTTGTTGAGCAGTTATTAACGAGCAGATTTGGTAGATATGATGATACATTCAAGTTGATACGTTGAGAGTCATACTGTACTTCCGTCTGAGTCATGGTTCCGCTCGGCGATAACACAAATCCCCGCCACCCCACCAACTTTGCTCCTTCACATCATCCTATATCCTCACCCACCATGGCGTCCAGAGTCTCACCATTCGATTTGTCGAAATGCGCTCGACCTAATATTCTGCAATTGCAGCCTTACCGCTGCGCCAGAGAGTAAGTCGGCTCCGAAATGCCTCCGATCTCGCTCGCGCGCTAATGAACCAGTGACTACAAAGATGATGGCACGAACGTCCTTCTGGACGCAAACGAGAATGCCTACGGCCCCAGCCTGGCAATGAGCAAGGAGGATGCCTTGCAGTGCCCCCAGCCCGATATTGACTTTCTGGGCCTGAACCGATACCCCGATCCGTAAGACCTCATCCCTCCTGTCTCTTTTTACGGGTGTGTCTAACTTTCAATTGAACCCTACAGCCACCAAATTGAACTCAAGCAGCTTTTCTGCGACCTCCGCAATACCCACCACCACACAGAAAAGACCCTAAAGCCCGAGAGCTTGTTCGTGGGTGTCGGATCCGATGAGGCTATCGATGCGATGCTCCGTTGCTTCTGCGCACCGGGCAAGGACAAGATTCTCACCTGCCCACCGACCTACGGAATGTACAGTGTTAGCGCCCAGATCAACGATGTTGAAATCGTCAAGGTGCCGCTAGATGTGGAAAACGGCTTCCAGCTGCAGGTCGACAAGATCAACGAGACATTATCCGCCGATCCATCCATCAAACTCGTGTATATCTGCTCACCCGGTAACCCGACAGCCAACCTGATCCGCAAGGACGACATCCGCAAGGTGCTGGAGCACCCCACATGGAACGGCGTGGTGATCGTGGACGAGGCATACATCGATTTCGCCGAGGAGGGCGCCAGTCTGGCTGAGTGGGTCACCGAGTGGCCTAACCTAGCAGTCATGCAAACTCTCAGCAAGGCATTTGGCCTTGCAGGTATTCGTCTCGGCGTTGCCTATACCAGCCCCGAGATCGCACGGTTATTGAACAGCCTGAAGGCCCCCTACAACATCTCCAGCCCGACTAGTGCACTCGCAACCGCCGCCTTGACTGAGCCCAATCTGGCAGTGATGCGTGAATCCCGTGAAAAGATCGTCGCGCAGCGCGACCGTCTAATCCGCGAGTTGCCGCAGATCTCCGGTGTTGGCCGGTTCCTAGGCGGCACTGACTCGAACTTTTTGTTGGTGGAGATTCTAGACGCTGCCGGGAAACCGAGTAACGTGACTGCTCTGGCCGCGTACGAGGCGTTGGCGGAGAAGCGTGGGGTTGTGGTGCGGTTCCGTGGTAAAGAGTATGGATGTGAGGGCTGTATTCGCATCACCGTTGGCACTGAGAGAGAGGTGACTAAGTTCCTGCAAGAGTTGCAGGTTGTCTTGGCTGGATTGCTTGCGGGATCCGGTGTCGAGTCGCTTCGGGACGAGGCGAAGCGGGAGGATACGGCGGCTGCGGTGGTTGCGTAACCTTGGAAAAGCCCCCTTTCATGCGCGATTAAATAGAGTTCAGGAGATTATCTCTATATTCCGTGGACATATACCCCGGTCACTGAGATAACACAATGATATTAGCATCTAGATCCAAAGAAATCCAGGCTATTTTAGTCAGTTATAGTAGGTTTATTTAGACCCAAGCTGATTGGGTCCGCTTTAGACTGGGGAGGCTCCACCGTGAGATTGGAGGCTGTAAGGCAGACAGATTGCGCCTCGTGTTGTCGCGTGCCTCTGGCGTCAATTGGTTTCTGCGGCTTGTTCACTGGTGCTCTCTTTTCGAATAACTGCAATTCAACAGATTCTCTGTTGGGTCACCGAACGAGTCCGATACAAGGTTTTTATTGTTATCCACCTGATGCTTGATACCGAGTTCAAGAGCGCCCGGTCCAGGCCTTGGAAGACTCGTATCGCATAAGCGCAGGGCAATGTCTAGCGAACCGTAGAACGAAGGCCAGATTAAGGAACCTCCCACGTGAACAATAACGGTTGTTGGACCTCGGAATTTATTTGTCTAGTATAGCATCCTTAGGTTTCTTAAGTGTCGCAGGTTAGGTCAAAGCTCCCGGACTCCGGACCAGTGAACGGCGTTACAAAGTACCCAGATCTTAGCCAATGATGACACGATTGACTCCTCAAATCATGTCCCGGTTTATGGCGTCAGCTTAGCTGTAATGGAGATGGAGATAGCTCGCTCTCCCCAGTGGTTTGCGCGAATCAGGTTCGCTGATTTGCTTTGGTTAGTTCTGCGATGGGTCTCCCCCGATAGTGTTTATAGGTTAGAATGAGATTAGTACAAAGCATATCACTGGCTCGTTTGTTATCATCGTGTTGTCGCTTTTTTCGCCCTCAAAATCCTTGACCTCATATCATGTTTCTCCGGGACTCACCGATACTCCGGTTTCCCCTCTTCTTTTCTTATTTGGCCCTGGGGCTTTATGTGGCATATCGTTTCACCTTTCACGAATTCCGCCACGGAGTGGACTTGTTTTGTGCTCTTAACTGGAGCACAATCCCCCCCAAAGATAGCCTAAGTGGGCTTTGCTGATCGCCCCCAGACTAGTGCCATTCCACTTTCCCCACCGAGTCTACCCCGATGCCTCTCACGTGCGACATGTAAAAGGTCGCCATTTTCCTGGGTGAGAAGTCTGAGGTAACTGAGAGATTGAAACAACAGACACTGCAGAAGCCCCTCTTCGGAGGCGGCGGGGATTATGGACTCGACTTTGGCCGTACGCGGACTCCGCGTCCAGCTTCCTCCCGCCTATGAAACCCGCGAGCAGGTCAATCCATCACTCTTGATGAGCTGGTGGGCCACGGCCTTTTCAATAGTCATTATTATCGTCCGTCTATGTGGTCGCTATGTGCGCATGGAGCGCTTCTTCCCGGAGGACAAAGTGATGACCCTCAGCATGATTCCTCTCGTCGGCCGCATGGTCTTGGTACATTACGTCTTGGTCTATGGCACAAACAACGTTCAGACGGCCGGATTGACGGCGGAGGAAGTCTCGGAAAGAGAGCTTGGGAGTAAGCTCGTACTGGTAGCAAGGATATTTTATGCGATCTTGTGAGACATGCCCCTCATTCTGTTCACTGTGTCATACAAGTATACTGATTAGAATGATCTTAGTATCTGGACGGCCAAGCTCACTGTCTGCGAATTCCTGAAACGAGTTACAGGCATGGTCTCACGTCGATCCACCGCCATCTTCCTGCGCTTTGTTCACTTCTTCTTGGCCTCGACTCTGATGGCGGTCGTGATTGCAACGCTAGCTGAATGTCAGCCATTCAACCACTACTGGCAGGTCATTCCAAATCCCGGTCCACCATGTCGTTGCGGTTATGCGCAGCTCATCACAATGGGTACCTGCGACGTCATTACCGATCTTCTCCTAATCGCCTTCCCCGTCCCAATCGTCATCATGTCCAGGATGCCCGTCAAACGCAAAATAGGCCTTGTCATCCTCTTTTGTCTCTCCCTCCTGCTAGTGGGAATCACCTGCTACCGAGTACCTTCCGTCATCGAACGCCGAGGCAATCAACCCTACCGCTCACTCATGGCCTCACTCGAGATCCTCGCTGCAACAGCCGTCTCCAATGCCCTCGTCATCGGCTCCTTCGTTCGCGATCGCGGTGTTAAGAAACTTAAATACAAGCGCGAGGTGGCCTCTGCATCTGTTAGCGAAAGTCTTGATAACAGCTATGTCCGTCGCAATACAGTCATGCAGCATCAATGGGGCAGTGACTCGGATCTCGCCGGTGGGTTGGGTATAAGACTCGATCCTAAGCTGCATCCGAGTGCATCGTCATCAGAGCAATCACACACTATGCCTATGCCCGTACCACCCCTACCCTTGCATGTTGCACGCACCGGCTCTATCGATCCATCATGGTCTTTCAGCCAACCTCGTCCCTCAGATGATGACCATATCTCGGCTACTGACAGCCTCGATATGGATATCAGTCCGCGAGAATACATCAAGACTAACCAGTCTCCGCGAGAGAAACCCGCTCTCTCGCATTCTAACATCTCCTCGCCACGGGTGTCGTTTTTTGATGTCGGCGGTCTACTAGATCAGGACAAAGAGAGTCAACACTCCCGTGCGGGCTTGCGCCCTACCCGAAATGCAGAAGATTTATCTGCATCCACGAATCAATCGGTCCGTCCATCTCGGGGAGGAAGAGCCTTCCTAGAAGATCTGGGCGTTTTACCCTCGCGATCAGCTGGCCGGACAGCTACCCCACGCTTTTTGACACCCCTTCCGACTGCGAATAACCGACCCCTACATACCCTCCCGCCTTACCGAGCTGGGCCTGATGTCTCACTGGATGTCAACGTCGAGCTGCAGGATGTTGGTGGACTCTTATCTAGGCATTCCCCGCCTAATCATTGATTTTTTTTCTTTCTTTTTCGATATTCGGTTCTGATAAATTCATGATACGATGATCTTTTGATGGAGCAATGGGATTGGAACACGGAGCTCTTTGGAGTTTGAATCTGTTCCGGCTGGAATAAATTGGATGGGATTGGATTATCATCTTGGGTCGTGGTCCACTTTATATACCCGTTATGTTCGGGGATTGTATCACTGTTTTTTTTTTTTTGGGTTGGTTGAGCATTGGCGTTGGAGGTGCCTCTTTCATGTTTGGAATCATATTGGATTCTGTCTGTACATCACTTGAAACGAGGCCATGAACATAACACTTTTTTACTTCGACTCATGAAAAATAGATGTATAGACATTGAGTGTATTCTTCTAGCTCGACAGCAAACACAGCAGAGCATTACTATGTAAAATCAAAGGTTGGAAACCCCCTCCCTCCTCGCGGAAAGAATTCGCCAGTACGCCATGCTGCCCATAATACAACTTTTTTTGGTTCGTTTGTGTGGTGCAGTCAACAAAAAATAAACAAACTCCGTGCCCGATTCTCCCTAGCATCTGACACAGCCGCTGATCTTGGGATATATGTGGCAGCTGGTTCATGTCTTCTCAGAGAGGTCGAGACTGATGCGCATGTGGTGGGTTCCCAGATTTCCCTCGATCTCGATCAGCAAGAATCGAGGGTTTTCTTTCGGTGCAAACCAAAAAGCCCAATTGTTTCGCACGGAGACACAATTGATCCTTCTAGAAACTTTGGTTCTCTCTTTTCTCCCTTAGATAACCCATCGGTAACTGGCATAACGACCAGCCGTCTCCGACTTCCGGATAATCTTCACAACCTGGCCCCGACGCAATCCCAGGTACCGTGCCACAGGATCCGAAACCTGCATACGGGGCAGCTGGCTCTCCTTCAAACGGTATCGTTCAAGCAGACGGGCCTTCTCCTCGGGGCTAAGGAGAACGTGCTTGGGGACGAGCTCGTGACGGGTAATGTTGACCAGCAGATCCTGCTCCTGGAAGTGCTCGCAGATACGACCGGGGATACCGCTCAACAGGCGCACGGCGGAGGGCGAGATGGGGGTCTGGGTGATGAAGACACCGGTGTGGAAGTTGCTCTCATCAACAATGTGGTTAAAGGCGCGAACTTGCTTTGTACCGACACCAGAGGAGTCGGGGCAGAAGTCGACGTAGATAGTACCGCAGTCGGGCTGGGGGTTGGGGTTCGATTTGCTGGGGAGAGCTGTGTATTTCATTTTCATCTCCTCGGTGGGGCGGGCTTGGATTTTCATCTTGGTGCGGCTGGTTCAGGATATGCGCGTTAGTCAAGCTACTTTTTACCCCGCGGTCGAGTATTTCAAGTCGAAAACTGGATTGAGATGAGGACTTGAGGAATTGCATACTCTGGATAACCCATGGGGTCGGCATATTTGTGCTTGAAGTCGATCAGCGAGAGTTGCAGCTCGTCGTCGGAGACCTCATAGCCCTGTTGTCGCGTCGCGTAAATGATCAGTCTTTGCTCTGTTGCAGTATTTGCAGCCCGTTCAAGCTTTAGGGGCCTCTAGGAATAAAACTCACTCGGTCCGAAAGCATCTCATAGACGGTCCGCCATGTGCGCCAGAGGCGGGTCATCTCCTTGTCAGCCTCATCACCGCTGCGCTGCGCGATTTCCCCGTCCATTATGGAATTGAGCGAGCTCCAGATAAGGAGTCAAGTGAAAAGCAGTGAAAGTCTGCAAACACAGAAGATCCAACGGTGCCAACGCGGAAAGCAAGAGGTGTGATAAGAAACAGAAAAATCGGCGGGAACTTTCTGCCAGGTGAACGACTTAGTCAAAGCGGAGAAACCGACCGAACCGTTTTAATTATTCTCCTTTCCCCTCGTGGGCTACTCTCTCTTTGGTCTCTTTTCTTTCTCTTCCCTACTCCTCAGAGGCAATTCTTTCCTTTTTTTCTTCTTCGCTTCTCATTTATCCACAATGGCCGATACTGCACCTGCGGAGCGGGTTAAGCCCACCAAGCCCGATGAGGAGGCCTACAAGGCCAGCTTGGCTCAGGCTGAGAAGGAACACACTGCTGCTCAGGAGAAATTGGTATGATACATGCTTTCGTTCTGCATTTATTGGTTGCATGCGGTTATCATCTTGTCTTGAAATCGTGCGCAATGGCCAGTTACATTCGAGGCCATGGTGGCATCACGTCCTCGTGCCCCCCACTGTTTATTTGAATGTTTTTTTTTTGGTCTTTAGAGTCAAGTTCCGCATTTTTGGAGAATTGTTCAATAACTAACTTGCGCAAAAGAACCAAATCAAGGCCAAGTTGGACGGCGCCAAGCCCAACAACCAGGACTCGCCCGTCGTCAAAAAGCAGCAGGAACTCCGCGCCGAACTCTCCTCCATCCGCCAGAAGCAGGCCGGCTTCAAGACCTCTCGGTCCAGCATCCAGGAGAAGATCAATGGTCTTGAGTCGACCCTGAAGGCCCGCATTGCTGAGCAGAACAACTCACGTGGCAAGATGTCATTCAAGAACGTCGAGGAGATCGACCGGGAGATCGCCCGTCTCGAGAAGCAGGTCGACTCTGGTACCCTGAAGTTGGTGGATGAGCGCAAGGCCCTTTCCGATATCTCCCAGTTGCGCAAACAGCGCAAGGGCTTTGCCGGTCTCGAGGACGCTCAGAAGGGAATCAACGAGTTGAAGGCGCAGATCCAGGAGCTCCGCAAGAGCATGGACAACCCCGAGGCTAAGGCCCTGGGTGACAAGTACGGTGAGATCCAAAAGGAGCTGGATGCCATCAAGGCCGAGCAGGACGGTGTCTACAAGAACCTGAACGCTCTCCGCGACGAGCGCACCAAGCTGCGTAACGACCAGCAGAAGAAGTACACCGCTATCCGTGAGATTAAGGACAACTACTTCAAGGCTCGTCGTGCCTACAAGGAGTACGAGGATGAGGCATGGCGTGTGCGCCGTGAGCGTCAGAAGGCCGAGCGTGACGCCTTTGAGCGTGAGAAGCGCAAGAAGGTCGCCGACAAGAAGCTCGAGGAGGCTTCCAACCTCGCCTACGTCGATGAGATCCTGACCGCTCAGGGTCTCATCCGTCACTTCGACCCCGCTTACAACTTCGCCGCGCTTGGCCTGGATAACAAGAAGGATGAGGGTAGCAACTTCCGTGCCGGTGTTGGCCGCACTGTTGACGACTCCGCCATCAAGGGTATGAAGGTCGTGCGCAAGGACGATGAGGAGGACTACTTTGTTGGCAGTGGTGGCAAGAAGGGCAAGAAGGGTGGCAAGAAGGGTGCCGCTCCCGAGGCCTCCAAGTTCAACATGAACGTTGGTATCATTGAGGAGTTCAGCAAGGTCAAGATCGACCCTCCCATGAACCAGTCCGACGTTCCCGCTGCTATCGAGAAGCTGGCCGCCAAGATCACCGAGTGGAAGAGCACCCAGGCCAGCAAGACCGAGGAGGTGAGTACTCTCTGTGTGGATTGTATTAAGCAACAGTCGCTAACAAGTATCACAGAACATTAAGAAGGCCAAGGAGGAGATCGCTCGCCTTGAGGAGGAGGAGACCAAGTCCGAGGAGAAGGCCAACGGCCGCAGCACTGACGCCGCCAAGAAGGTCGCAAAGGCTAACGGTGCCCCCACTGCCGAGGCCGAGCTGACCCAGGAGCAGGATGCCGTTGCCGATGCATCGGAGGAGCTTCAGAAGGCCTCCATCGAGGACCAAGCATAGTCCTCTGTGAATTTCATTGCTTATATTTTGTTTATCGGGCTTATTTGCCCCTCGCATATTGCAGTCTAGCATTGTGCCTAGCATTTTCCCATTTTCTCTTTGGCTCATGTGCATTTAATTCCGCGTTGGTACATTGGACAGCGTCCATTCCGTTTCCCAAAAGCCAGAATTGATATCTCCTTTCTCCCGGTTGATCCTGGTCCTGCTATATAAGGCTTTGCTATATACTATTTTCAGCGCTTTCCCAAATCTTGCTACCTAACTATTATGAAACCCGAAGTCGAAGCGCCCGGATGACTCAGCGACCCCGGAACTGCGCCACAACTCCACTTTCTGCCGATCCGCGCGTTCTTCTACATAATCCCTACTTCCTGCACTTCCGTGGTTGCGAATTCGTTTTTCTGTCGGCGCATCCGGATCATCCAAGTGATTTTTGGGGACCACCCTTTCACTATCTATATTATCTTGGACCCTGAAAACCCACATATTTCCACATCGGCTGCCCACTCATCTGCAGATCGGCAATCTTTTTTGACAGCGGCTCCACTTCAAACTTCCCATTCGTAAAGATGTCCTACAACAAGCCTGTGCGTCGCAAAGCCCACTAATGGCTAAAAATACCGCCATATACCCAATTTATACGTCCTCGGCTAACGATGAGCTCCAGACAAGCCCACCCCCTTCCTACCCTCAGCCGGCCTACAACAATACCCCGGGCTACCAGTCCCCGCCGCCCCAAGGCGGAGGGGCTGCATCAGACTACTACGGCCAGCAGGGCCAGCAGGGCTACTATGGCCAGCAACAAGGCTATCCCCAACAACAGCAGGGATACTATAACCAACCGCAAGGCCAGATGTACTACCCACCGCAACAGCAGTACCCACAGCAGCAACAGGGTTATTATGCGGGTGGCAATCGCTTCGGCGGTAACAGTGGTGGCGGAGGATCTGGCGCAGGTGGAATCTGTGCTGGTGTGATGGCTGCGCTGGCTTGTTGCTGCTGCTTGGATATCTTGTTCTAAGGTGGTGCGGTTTTCGCCGGATGCGGTTACCATACGAGTGCTTTTATACGAACCCAACCCGTGGATCCGTTGAGATTATGCTTCATGAGGATAGATGCTGGGATTGATACATGGCTTGGGGGGTTCTTGTCTGTTTTTGGGTTCCGGACTTTTCATTGTGGTTTGCTTTGGAATTCTGTGATGTCTTCAGGATGGCGTCTCGCGCAGGTTGACTTTCATTGGTTTTCGCCGGCGCAAATGGGATCCAGTGTTGCGTCTTGGTTGACGTTTTACTTGTATACAATTTGTTCTCTATTTCCAAATTTGTCCTGGGTATTTTTATTGATCAGGATCAGTACGAATATTCCATTTTGATCACATATTCGGACGTAAATCATGGTTCATATTAAACTTTGAACATCATATAAGCATAAAACATCAGAAGTAGTATAAGAAAGGAATAGGGTATATGCAAACAAATCCCAAGGAATGATAAATGCAAAATATGCTTAATTCAATCACCGATACCGACTACCACCATACTCGCTCTCACCACCCCCATAGTCCAACGGATCAATCGTCCTAACTCCCGACCGATGACTTCTCGCTCTCCTCGGCGGCCGAGTCGAAACGGATGAAACAGCCGAAGATTCCTCTTCAAACACCTCCACAACATCTCTCCCATCTGATGTGGCAGTACCAGTCACCGACTCTTCAACAATAATGCGACCATCATCCCGATCGCGGGGACTCGGTCGGCGCCGATAGCTGTCCCTCCGATCACGCTCTTCAACTACTTCAATCGTATCACCATGCCGGCGTAGCGAAGGTCCCCGTCGACTGCTTACCACTACCTCTTCATCGACCGAGGAGCTCACTCCGCGCGCGAGACCACCAGGGTTTAGAGAGAGGAAGGTAAGGTAGAGAATCAGGACGACGCCGCCCACGCTGCCCAGCACGATTCCAGCGACTGTTCCTGAGGATGGACCGCTGTCTAGGCCGCCGTAGGTTGAGGGAATGGACACGGTTGTATAGCGTTTTTGAAGGTGGGAGGAGAGGATCTGGTGGGTTTTATCATTTATGGAGGGTGCAGGTTCGAGCATTGTTGTGTCGAGGCTCAAGTCCTCTGAGAATGGAATTGATTCCATGGTTTTGTTTCGTGGTAATGCTGAGGCTTTGGGTGATCGGTGGGATCTGATAAGCTCGGATTTGTGTTTCACAGCTAGCGCATGCGACCGAGGGAGATGAAGCTCGGGTGGGTGATTTGTGATTTGTGTTGATGGGTAGCTGGAATGTAGGAATCAATTCCGGTATGAATTAAAGGAGAAGAGAAGAAATCGAGGGGAAGAGGTGAGATCTATGAGGTGGCTGGGGATCGGCACTGTGGGGCTGTTTACCTGGACTCGATCCGCCTCAACTGGTTCGAGTATTAAAATCGATTAATTGATTCTTACTTCACCCAGGCAAGTGGGAAAATTTATACCAACGTGTACAAATTGCATTGCTGTGTCTTAGTTGTCTTTGAAAGAAATCTTGGATAAAAAACCAAGACAGCTTCGAGATTGATAATGGCTTTAATGGTCACTGCGCAGTATCCAGCCACATTTTCGAGCCTAATTCCGCCAGTCCATGGAAGAGATACTGCTCCCACTTACCATAATGGAGCCTCTGGTGGTATATAACTTTTTTGGCGACATGGCAAATGCTGAGCAGCATCCCTAAAGAATACACCCAAGGGATCCGCAGAACAACAGCAAGCTAGTACAAACGTATGACAGACTGGCGAGATTGATATACAGGGTGGATGGAAGTTAATACGTCGTGTTACTTCCAAGGCTTGCCTCTATTTATCATCTTTTCCATTCGAATAATATTTCCCTGAGTCACTATAGCTACCTGTTCACGCTTGGTTCTGCTGCCTGCGTATTTGTAGATGAAACGTTCCAATATAGCAGAATCCATACATGGCGAGGAATTCCTCGGCTGCAGGACTCAATCTAAAGCCATATGATTATGTTCCATCTATAAGTTTTCCACCTTTTTCATAAATTGCCGAAGAAAACGCTAAAAGTCGGTAACCCGTAGACAGGACAAGGTATTCTTACTCCTCTGGATAAACGGTGCCTCCCTGGCGTCTGATCTCATCCATAATTTCCATCATATGCACAGTCATTGCCCATGGCACGATACCACTCTCCTTCCGTCCTTCCAAAACATCCAACGCAGTGTTATCAGCTTCCCATACAAACCCACGCCCAACCCTCGGGAACTCATATGTCTTGCTCTCATATTGTTCTTTGTCAAATAAGGCCTTTTCCGCACTTCCAGGGTCTGCCTGCCTTGCCCATACAGTGAAAGATTCAGGGATAGAAGGGGTATCCCCCGACACCTCGATGTGACCCTTTGTCCCATGGATCACGGCAAATATTCTACCAGGGGAGCCCTTGGTTTTAGTCGTGGAGCTCGCGATACCCATGCGACCGCTGGAGTATTGAAGAATAGCACTCGTGGTGACCTCAATGCCTTCTTCATGCGTCTGCGACGCCACAATACGGGGCATCTCCATGTCCTTCTCGTTTGCCACGGCAAGCCACGTAAGAGGGTACACACCGATATCGAGCAGGGATCCAGCTCCAAGCGCTAGATCTCGATATCGAGATGTCGGTGGGAGAGAGGAGATATCGATCTCTGATGCGAAATCGGCGAAGACGCGAGTCACGTCCCCGATGACCTTGTCTTGATGCAGCAGTTCTTGCAATTTGCGGTATAACGGCCGGTGACGAAGCCACATTGCTTCAGCCACGTAGACGTTCTTCTTCTTAGCTGCCTCAAATACCTCCCTGGCTTGTTTGGCGTTCATTGCAAATGCCTTCTCGCAGAGTACATTTTTGCCTGCTGCGATGGCTTGCATACTATCGCGGTGGTGGTAGGCGTGGGGTGTACCGATGTAAACGATGTCCACCTCTGCGTCATTGTAGACCTGATCGTAAGAGTTGTAGATCTGTGGGGTCTGGTTTGGACAATGTTGTTCTACAAACTGTCGGCCTTTTTCAAGGTTTGATGTGCCGATGGATTGGATTATATGCTTGACTTTGGCATCGGGTCGGTCGAGCACCAGATCGTCAACAAACCATGACGATATTAAGCCAGTGGCTGTGTGTACGTTAGTCAATACTCGCAGATTTCCTTTGAGTGATAGATTTCATACTGATGATGCCCCAGCGAATAGTTGGCAAGTTCGTCATATTTGATTGAAAAGTGTTGAACACAAATTGAGTCTGATATGAGTAGCTGAACAGATGGATTATAAAGCTTCAGCTCGAGGGACCGGACTTTTTTCCGTACTAGAACCCGATGACGGAAAATCAATTCCGTGGGATCAACTGATGCGGGGAGACAATGCCGGAAGTTGACGATATGTGCAAATCAAGGAATTCTTTCCGATTCAAATCCCAGGTACTTCGAGTCCCTTTCCTCCATTCTCCAAATGTCTAAGAGGGATATGATACTATGACGCAGGCTTTTAGGGCCTGGGGGAAAGATCACTGTTAATGCTGTCGCGAGAAAGAATCGGGTCGAGAATATTTCCCATACTATGAAGATTATCAGAGTTTACTGCTGCAACCCTTGACACGGAGTTGCCTATGAAGCTAGACTCGGCTTTGACTTCGTTGAATAATGCAACTGCGCTACAGGAGAGCTTCGTTTCTGGATATCCGCTTCGGTCTGCTCAGAGACGGAATCGGATACAAGCTGCGAATGCCTCTCTTTAATATTAGGAAAAGATAATGCTCGATAAATTGATGTTTGAATTGAGTACTGCCTTAATACTTTGAAAGATTGGCTTCCATATCAATATGCGCCAGCTCTCTTCTGCCACTTAGGCTGGTCAACCGACTCAACTTCACTCATGGAAGTGAGTACAGGATGGGTAGAAACCAACTCAAGCCCGTCCAAGCTAGCACCATCATCATTCAGTCCCCAGAGTGTCAGGCCAAGCCAGTTGGTACCACGATAGTTGAGAATGCCCTCGGGCACAGGGTAACTGGTCTGCGGGCCAATATTGTTGACATACTTAGCATACTGGTAGCCATTGACATACAGCTGAGCACGGTAAGAAGGCGGCGGCAATGTCGAATTTTGGAAGTTAAAGTACAGCGGGATATCATAACCTTGTGGGAGATCAAGATCAAAGCTTGTACTGTAGAATCGAATGCCGGGCTTCGAGAAACCTGTGTATGGGCTGCTGGTTTCCCATTTCTGGCTTGGAGGATCGGGCTGGTGGTAGCCTTGACGCTCGGCGTAGAGTCCACCTTCGTTGAGGGGACCACGCACGAGATCTTGGTAATCTTCGCCGCCCAGATTACCAGTCAGCTTCCAGGTGATGGCGTCGTCAGACCGACCAGTGAGGGTGTAGTCAAGGATACCGCGAGGGTCCTTCATCTCCTCACTGCCTACGGTCCAATCCTCATCCAGACCCATGTTGTCAATCACGATGGTGAGGACATATTCCTTGCCAGCTTTCAATGTGGGAAGGGTGAAAGTGGTATTGTAAACCGCCGTGATGCTGTTTCCGTCCCATGAGTCTACAAAGGTCTCGTTGATCCATACCGAGCCACCAAATGCGGTACCACCTTGCAAGTGCACCAAGAACGATGATTCTTCACCGGTAGCGACGAAGTGGCCACGGTAGAGGAGATATCCTGTGTGGAAACCATAGTCGGACGAGTACAAAGAAGTTGGTGTTGTGATTGGAAACTCGCTGTTATTGGTGTAGGGATGGTCAGCGTCGACCCAGGCAGAGTCGTCGTAGGAGTTCTGAATTTCAGGAAGAGTGTCGATAGACTTCCACTTCAAGCTCTTCAGTGTCGGGAGATTGACTTTTGGTGCGGTGTAGCTGACACTGGTCGACCAGATGCCATTCTTGTCCACCGTGGTCTTGACTTTCTGGCCGTTGATATAAAGGCTCTTGGCCTTGGATGGAGCACCAATCACCTCAACAGTAGTGGTAGCGTTGAAGTCAGCAGCGAGGTGAAGCTCGCTTCCTGACAGATATGCAGTTCGCACGAGATAACCCGCATTGACAATTATTGACGACGCAATGGTCTCCTGAGTGCTGTACCCAGGGTTCTGGCCCGAGGAGGAAACCTGTGGGACCCAGTAGTTGTAGGCATCGTATCGGTCTATGTATTGTTAGTCGCCTTTCGTCGCCATCATGAACTGTGATTACTTACCCAGGAGCAGGACCTTCAGGTCACCAATCTTAACTATGCGACGAGTCTCAGATACATCCCAGCCAATGACAACTGCCTTTCCAACTTTCTTGGAAGTAATTCCTGACGATGACCCCTCCACAACGGTAGCACTTGATGCGCCAGAGACTGCAAGCTCATGGTGCTCACCAACGTCACCGTAGAGAACGATAATCTTCCCATTCGGAACTTTCTTCCAGCTGAACACCTCAGCAGTCGAGTAGAGAATGTTGGTTCCCGCTACATCGTAGTCTACAACATGGATCTTTGAGTCGCGGTTGCCAAGAGTCAGGCTTCCACTAAGCTGGGGAATTGTCAGATTACCAGCACTGGTAGGGACCTTTAGCTTGTAGTCAACGGATGACTGGCTAGAATAATCGGAGTGTCGAACGACAAAGTAAGAGGTAGCAGAGCCATTGCTTCCAATAAGAGGTGTGACTGCAATATCGGAATTGGTCGAGTAGGCCGTAGTGCTCAGGTTACCAGGCTCTGTCAACAGGTACGATGGAGAGACCTTCTGGAAGTTGCCGATCAGTTTGAGTTCGCTATACTTCTGGCGAGTGATGTTGCGGGACTCAGTGATGGCAGATCCATAGTCGTAAGATGTATAGCCACCAGGGTGACCCAGATTGCCCCAGTTAGTGCCACCGAAGATCTATAGCTCATTAGTCTCGGTTTGTCGTGTCAAGGTAGGGGGGAATTTACCATGTAAAGATTCATGAAGGCAACACGGAAGCTGAAGTTGTTCTTGAAAAACACCCTTTCGAACTGGTAGTTCAGGAGCTCAGAGCAAGCCAGGAATCCGTTACCTCCCCAGGGATCAAACGCTCCACCTTGGAACTGTGAATTGTTAGATCATTGCTCTGTTTTCCGCCTATCTTGCAGCATACCTCAACAATAGAGTACGGGGTACTGGGACTTTGTTCCATGTGCAATTCATAGAAGTCGGTTGGGAGGTCACCACTGGGCCACGTGTAAGGGCTGGCACAGTCGAATCCCAGAGGGTAGCTATCATGGCCATAGATATCGACTTCTCCTACGCCGGTTCCCGGGGCATCGTGCCCCTCGGCTCCTGCATCATTGCTGATAAATGGGACGACGACGCCGGCATTGCGAGCTTGATCCTCAACATATTGCATGTAGTTCCCATCAGGGAAATCAGTGTCTCCGCAGCAAGCTCCGGAATACTCATTCTCGGGCTGATACAGAATGATAGGTCCACCATTGGTAATTTGGCCCTTGGCAATCGTCGCAGCAGCGTTGGCAACGTAACTATCAGCTCTTGTTAGTATCGTTGAAGATTGAGCCGGTCAGGTGTCATACTTGTCGGTAGCGTGCAGGTACGCAGGAGAACTTGTTCGTAGGGTTCCATTGACACGCTGCAGCCAGCCAGGGAAACCACCTCCAGAGGCCTCAGCATTGATGTAAGGACCCGGTCGAGCCAAGAGATAAATTCCAGCTTCTGAGGCAGCATCGAAGAATTTCTCGAGGTCGAAAATGCCATCGGCGCGGTAATGGCCAGGCTTACCCTCTAGCAGAGCCCAATCGATATAGAATGAGACGCAGTTGAATCCGAGGGCCTTGACCTTCTGGAAGACATCGATCCACAGACTTGGTACAGGCAGACTATATTGTTTGGATTAGCTTTTCAGCAATTAAAATTCCAATTGAATCTGACACAATTTACCGGAAGGGATGAAATTCTCCACTGAAGAGCATCAGTCGCTCGCCATTGATAAAAAGGGAATTCTCATCCCAGGTGACCTAGACCATCTGTCAGTACGGAGAGGCAAGCCCCTTGTAAATATTTGACGACCCACATATTTTTGCAACAGAGCCCGTTTCACAGGATCTGGATGCTCCGTGATGGTCAAGCCGTTCAGCTTATGGCTAATAGCAGCACCAGCAGCCTGAGCCGCCAGCGCTGCTAAAGCCCAAACAGACAAGAGCTTCATCGTGCCGAAGGTCTAGAGAGCCTTTGCAAACGACGAGCTAAAAGTATGTAGAGAAGAAGCTTTTTGTTTCTCTTTCCCCGCGGCTTTCAGGCAAGGGATCATCGCTCATTCTTATAGCACATCTGCACCTTGTTTGTCCTCGCAACCACGCCACGATCGACAGACGAATAAAACAAGACCCGGGTGAATACTCGGAGTATCCAATGCCGACACCGCACGCCATTATACAAGTAGCTCCACAGGTTTTCCCTGAATTTCGTCATTTTCCTCAATCGACAGGGGAGCAAGGCGGGGGTGGCCAGTCATTGCTTGCCGGTGGTCCGTTCGTGCATGCACGTTGGAGCATTGGAAGGCACCGTCGTAGAGAAGTGGAGTACATGCGCGACGTGCAGGGTAACCGGAATGAAGATCCCCCAGCTCTCATCTGTGTTGCGGGGGTGCACCACCGCAATTTTTCCGCTTATCGTATAGTCTCGCTTTGGGTTTGGACTTGTCAGGCCTTTACATGGGTATTGAGTTCCTTGCAGGAAGTGATGATCGCTCCTCAGATCTTGTTTGTGAGCATAGATGTGGTTGTCAAATGTCCGATTTTGAACCTCCTATCCTGACCGAGCTAGGTCTCGCTTGAACAAGAGTTGAACTTCTCTTTGTGAACATACTAACTGCTAAATCACAAATTATTAGAGCTCCGAGACCTCCGCATCGAGTACGGAAATAAGACGTGGACCATGCACCAAGTTAAATTAAAGGGTAAGCCATCATCTGCGGGGAAAGGGACCGTTGACTTGAATTTAACCGCTGCCGATGATTTTCCGAGTATCTTACGATGAAGGGCTCGGGTAAGTCTAAGGCGAATTTCGAGCTAATTGACCTAAGCCAAGCAAAGCTAAATGTCGACGCGAAATGTAAATCTTCATGGAATTGCTTTTTAGTACATTCGGGTAGGGCAGTTCCAGAGTATATGAAAATCATGTTAAGCACCCAATAGCCCGTATTTTTCTAACATAATCACACTTAAACAGTAGTGTTAAAACGATCCTCCTCGTCGTCAACCTTGGTGTATGTCTCACGGCTGTCAACGTATTCTTGCTCATCCTGGCCAATCTGGAGGTTCTCGTTCTTCATAGCAGAGTCCTCAGCGGCAGCAGTGGACTGAACCGGAGTCTCCACCGCGGGAGTTTCTGGGGCCGAGCTGTCAGTGTTTGCAGACTTGAAGTTCTTCTGCGGGTTGACCAGCGGGGTATCATCATTGAAAATACGTAGCAGCATGGCACGACGTTCTTCCTTGGGAAGCATGAGGTTCAAGGAATAGAGAGAGCGCCATAGAGGCAGCACCATTGGCTCACTGTATATAGATTAGAATGTTTCATCAATTTGAAGACAAATTAGAACTTACGTAAGGCCATCCTCCTGGCCGTTAGGCTCAACGCGCAGGATACTGCAGCCCATCGGGAGGTCACGGACCGCCTCACCGATTTCACCCAGATCTTTCCAGCCATTGTCGGTGACCTTGGGGAACATCTGCACAAGAAGCTTACGCAGAGTCTCCTTCTTGGTCAGAGCAAGGGATCGAGAGGGTCCCAACCAGGGCTCGATGATCTTCAGACCATCTGTCTGGATACGCCAGCGGCACACGTTCTCGCGCTGAGCATCCTGCTTCACGAACATCTTCACACCACAGTGAACAAACTTCATACCAGAGCCCTCGTTCTGGGTAAGAATATCACGGGCCAGTGCGCTAGTGTAGTAAACGGTTCTTGACGGGGTAGCATCGGCATTACGAACCATGAACCGGTCCCGTGGGAACCGCTCAGACAGCTCGTAGAACTTGTAAATAGGCTCGAGCTCCTCGTGGTGGGGATCCAGGTACTTATACGGGTCCTCCTGCGGCGCCTTCTTCTTCAAGGGCTTATCAGACAAGGCCGCGGCGGGAGTGCTCTCACCAGACTGCTCAACCGCAGCAGGGGCAGGCTTGTGGATGGGGCGGTCGCCAATGAGCGCTTCGCTGCCATCATCAAGCTTGGTCTTCTTAGCCGGAAGAGCATCCTCCAGGTCTTCCGCACCACGCTTCTCGGGAAGAGTAGTAGCGGCATCAAGAGTTGCGGAGTACGGGAGCTGGTTTGTTGCCTCAGCTACAGACTCGTTCTTCGCAAGGTCTTCCTTGGTCTCCTCGTCGAGGACAGCGACACCATCGAGAGAGTCCAGCTTCTGGTAGGGCTCGGCATCGCTGTTCTTGCGGGAATCAAGCTCCGTAAGAAGATCAGCGATCGGTGCCTTGGGTGCCGGCGCCTTGGTGATGATAGCAGAGTGATCCACTGCCTTGGCCTTAATCTCGGCCGTTTTCTCAAGGACGGTGATGAAGAAACCACCGGTATCCTGGTGGTGGGGGTATACACGCATGCAGCGCTCAAGCGGCAGATCAGCGTTCTCTCCGGTGGGAGGGAACAAGCTCTCGGAGAATCTAGCCAGTCCCTCAATACCCTCCTGGTCCTTGTGCTCCTCGACATCCTTCCAGCTGGACCAGATGCGGCCTTCACGATCCATGACCTTCCAGGTCTTCAGACCGGCAGCGCGCTTCAGACCGGGAAGTTCCTTGCTGCAGTCAATGATCTTGACGTTGGCCGCACCACCACAACGCTCAATAGCACAGGCAACAACAGCCTCGTTCTCGACGGGGTTCATACTACAGGTAGAGTAGACAACACGTCCACCCACCTTCAGCATCTGCAAGGCACGGATCAAAATCTTGACCTGGGTGAGGTGGAGTCCAAGACCGTTGGCGGGGTTCCAATCCTTCCAGACGTTATAGTTCTTGCGGGCAGTACCGTCACCGGAGCAGGGCACATCGGCAAGAATGCGGTCGAACTTCAAGTAGCGACCCTTCTGAGGCTTGCCATCGGTAGAAGGAAGAGGGGGAAGCTTGATGGACGGGTACATTGTAGCATCGTGATTCGTGACAATCAGATTGGGCGAGCTCAGGCGCTTCATCTGGTGAATAAGCATGTGCGCACGCTTGTAGTCACTGTCGTTGGCGATCAACAGACCGGAAGTACGGCCATCGTCGTTCAGTCCCTCGGGGCCGAGAGGCTCAGGACCAGCAGTGCCGTCCTTGAGCTTCTGGGTAACCTCCGCCATGGATTCCTCCTCACCGGCGTGTATAAGCTCCATCAGCTGGCAAGACTTGCTTCCAGGTGCAGCGCACATGTCCAAGCAGGTCATACCGGGCCGGAGATCCATAAGAAGAGGAGGAATCATACTGACAACTTCTTGGCGACTGATGTTTCCAACCTCGGTCTCGGCGACGAGGAACTTCTGGAATGAGGAGAAGGGCGCAAATCGGCGAATGACTTGCTTGGGGGTTGTCATCCACCAGGCAAGCTGGTCGGGGTACCACGAGACTGGGCGCGGCGGGTCGACAAATTCGTCCTCATATTTGATAGAGGTAATCTCGGGGATGTAAAAGTCCCGGAGACGTTGCTGAACAGCAAGCGCGTGGCTATAGAAGTGGAGGCGAAGGTCAGAATCATTCAAAATTGCCGGGACAGTAAATGCGCAGGTGCAAACTTACCCACGAGAGCCGGTAAAACGGAAACTGTTGGGCAGATCACGCTGGAGATGGGTCCAGAAAGCCTCCCTCTCCTCATCGGCAAGGAACTCGGGCTCATTGTAGTAGCGCTCAAGCTTCTCGTTGTTTCTAGTGATCGTCTGCCAGTTATCGTTGCGACGGCCGCCGCCGCCACGACCACCACCACGGTTGAACTGGTGGGCAAACAGGGATTAGCACAACTTCTTCCTAGAATTGAGAGGATCATATGATGTACACACCTTCTTACCACCTCGTTTTCCCATTGTGATTGTAGGTACGCTGGGAGATGCAATCGAAACCGACGTCGAAAAAAAAGCCAAAGGTGCATGCGCGTGATTAGGTAATCGCGGGCGCGCCGCGGGCAGCATTTTTCGTCCAATGTGAAGGACGAGTACTTATCATTCCAAGGTTACAGGAGGTACAATAGTCAGAAAGGATATCGGGAGGCTTAGATAATCTTTTAAGCATATATACGAAGTAAATTTTGATTGACGCAGTTCACAACAAAAGAAACAGAGATAGTTCGGCCCGTCACGCGACAGACTTTATAGTCTACTAAGGCAAAGCATTAATTGCTATTTCACACACAAATCAGGGTCTAACAACAACCCAAGGCAATGATTGATAGTACATTCAAACCAAACCCACCAACACCCAAGCCCGAGCGTCAGAGAGCCGTCTTTCTCTCGCAGTCGAAAACAGCGGGTAAATTAAGACAGGTTGCGGGACATGTCAGAGCGGATGCGCTGGTAGTCGAAGATACCCTCAATGGAGCCGACGGCGCTCATGGCGAGGTCCTGATCCCACAGCTTGCGGGTAGCGAAGTCCATAATGTCCTTCTCGGTGATCTGACCAACGGCACGCTCAACATCCTCGGGGCTGAGGCGACGGCCAGTGGTGATGATCTGGCGACCAATGTCCTCGGCAACGGCGGTGGTGCCGTCGAGGGAGAGGAGAATGGAGGCCTTGAGCTGGGCCTTGGCGCGCTCAACCTCGGCGGGGGTGACCTGGCTGCACAGACGGGACCACTCACGCAGGGTGAAGTGGATCAGGTCATCAAGGTTGGTCAGGTTCTCGGAAACGAGGTAGATACCCCAGAGACTATATTTCAAGAATTATTAGCTTTGCTTTTTTTTTTTTCTAGGTGTGAGGCTCTAAAGGATCTTACCCAGTGTCGCTGTAGCTGGTGGAGAAGCTCATGAAGCTGTTAGCAAGACCGTGCTTGCTGACGACGGAGCTGAGCTTGCTGCCAAGGTAGGGAGACTGGCCCATGGCACGGTCCCAGTTACCAATGATGGCCTGAGCGACCAGGGCAGTGAAGTAGTCGTCATCCTTCCAGCTAACACCCTCAACGGCGAGAGCGATGTGAGCGGAGGGGATGGTGTCGTCACGGAGACGGACCTCAGAGCCAATGAACTCGGGGGTGCGCTTCATCTCGGCAGTGAGAGCCTGGGCAGCGGAGTTGGGGGCCTTGCTGGGGAGGCTACCGAAGTGCTCCTCAGCGAGGCGGACAAGCTGCTCGTGGGGGATACCACCAGCACCGACCAGGACCATGCGGTCAGCAGTGTAGTTGGTCTTGATGTAGTCGGTCAGGTTGTCACGGGAGATGGTCTCGATGTTCTCCTTGGGGCCGAGGATGGTGCGGCCAAGGGGCTGGCCCTGGTAAGCGGTCGCGTGCAGGTGGTCGAAGACAACCTCCTCGAGCTGCTTGTCAACCTCCTCCTGCTCGCGCAGGATGACACCGCGCTCGCGCTCGATGGCACCGGTCTCAAGCTTAGAGTTCTGGAGGATATCGGAAAGGATGTCGACGGCCTTGGGGACATCGGCGTTGAAGGACTTGGCGTAGTAAACGGTGTTCTCGCGCTGTTGATATGGTTAGCGATGATTCGATGGGTGCATGCAATGGTTTTTCCGGTCGTACCGAGGTGTAGGCGTTGAGGTGAGCGCCCATGTTCTCAATCTCGAGCTCCAATTGGTGCTGCGAGCGCTTGTTGGTGCCCTGGAAATACTGTCAGAAGTGTTTTATGGTGGTCGGGATCGGTTGAATCAAACCTTGAAGGCAAGGTGCTCAAGGAAGTGGGCAGTTCCGTTGGTCTTGTCAGTCTCTGACCGGGAACCGGCATCGATCCACACGCCGACGGTGGAGGTCTGGGCCCATGGCGAGTGCTCAGTGGCGATCTATTAGGCGTTAGTAACGCAGCGAAGAATGGATTGGGTTTTCCGCATGTACCGTGAATCCGTTGGAGAGGGTGGTGGACTGGGTGGTGGACGGCAATGTGACGGGCGAAGCAAAGCCTCGCTTCACGGGCTGAATGGACTTCAGAGCCGCACGGCTCTTCAAAGCCTGGTTAAGGTTGAAAGCTAGGCGCCGAGAAGCCATTGCGGGTGTATAGGGTGTGTGGAGGGGGAAGGGGGATGGAGAGAAGAGCTGGACTCGCCCTGAGGTTGAAGTTCGGAAGTCAAATTGTTCGCCCGGCGCGCCAGCCAATCACATGACCCGCTTTTCCAACTCTTCCCGATTACTTCCTTTCCCTTAGTTCAAGGTGCGTTTTTGCTTGAAATGTTAAAATTTTAAGGTTGAACAGATATTTATTAGGTAAATGACTGTGGATCTGTCGTCTCTTGATATTTCACCTTTGCATATACGTACAATCGGGGTTCTACTCTGGCTGCCACGTTTCATCCCAAATCCGGCTCAATTCATTGGCTCTCCGGGCTCGCTTCTCAGGCTATACAAAGGCACTAGCAAAGTGCTTAACATTCTCCTCCATAGAAATATCCGGCGAAAATCCAAGCTTGAAGGCTCTCTCATTGGAGAATTGAGGAGTCCATGTCTGCACAATCTTGTCCACGGCAGCATCATACTTCTCCTCCACCAATGCGAGTCGCTCCTTACCACCAACAGCCTCCAGAGCATCCAACATTTCTTGCACGCTCACCTTGAGTCCAGGAAGATTGACTGATCGCGAAGTGCCGAAAGCCCCAGCAGGGACGTCACGCGCATGCATCAAATTCTTGACAATAGTGTGCGGCGAGCAGATCCACATCTCAACATCTCTGCCTACAGGCAGAATGGCCTTTTTGCCATGGAATGGCTCACGAATAATATCACTAGCAAAACTGCTTGCAGCCTGTGTAGGTGCGCCTGCGCGAACAGTCACGGTTGGGAGTCTCACGGATCGACCATCCAAGAACCCACGGCGGGAGTAGTCAGTTACCAAATGCTCGATGATGAGCTTCTGTGTTCCGTAGGAGGTTGAGGGCACAGGAGGAAAGTTGAACTCGTCTGGGAGAAGGCCCGGTGGTGCGAGGCCGTAGACTGCTAATGAGGAGGTGAAGACCACCTTTATACCAGGCATGGTAACGCGTAATCGGTCAAGAATGTATCTTGTTGCATCGAGATTGACTCGAGTCCCCAGCTCAAAATTCGCCTCGGCCCCACTGGACATGATTCCATGAAGGAGGTAAACGGTCTCGAATGGACGGGAGGCACTGATCAATTCGTCTACCTCTTTGGGTGAGGTAAGGTCTGCGCGGACGCAGGAAAGACGACTGCCATATTCGGTGGCTGACTTGGGCACTGCTGGTTCAACGACATCGGTGATTGTAACAGTGGTGGTAGCGGGTGTGCTGGCGAGGAAGGCAGCGGCCAGCTCTTGGCCAACGTAACCACCAGCGCCAGTGATCAATATAGACATTCTGGGGGAGATAGCAGAAGCAGTTCAGAGCTAAATTGAGGGTATCAATGGAGTGAATCAGAATAGCCGCCGAAGAGCAGCTTTCCTTGTCGTTAGTTATATACTATAATAACCCCGCGGGGGCTGCACAGAATCCTCCCCTCCCCCACGCTTGCAAGATTGACCATCCATTCTCAACCAATTACAAACTGCTAAGTAAAAAATACCAAGCGCTGACATTCTACCTCGCGCATCAATTCCGAGTTAATGCTACCAGGACGGATGGCCGACCTTAATCTCGGTGAGAAATCCGAGTGCCGAACCATCGGCAGTTTCGCGGGGCAAGTCCGAGGCAATCAAACATGGCGAGCTACGTTAAATACGGATTGATTGAGATGACCCGTAGAATTAGTGCCTACAGTTAATCAGATGACTTATCATAGGTGGGTTCTCGTTTATCCGTCTTAATCTACGATTAGCTGACGATCTTCGCGGTGATATCAGACGTTACACCGCTCTAGTCTAGTAGTTCAGCGAAACATATATTAATGTGAAAAAGATGCCTACGTACATGGATACTTTATGCAAATATACTACGCAGTAAAGGACTTTCCTTCTGTGGAGATAGTAATTGAACTTTTGAAGCTATCAAGACTAGGCTGGGACAACACAAAGACCCTCGGTCAATGCATCCCAAGGTATACGGCACCAAGATATTTTCCATAGTGTGCATTTTCCAAGACGTGAAACCTAGATTTTGTGACGCAAGCAAAAGTACATGGGCAGAGACAACCAGTCACAAGAAGATAGCATTGGATACATAGCATAACACAGGACGCCTGAGGAAAAATTGAAAGAGAACAGATAGGAGAAAGACATGACCACCAATTAAACAACCTCCTCTTTATGAAGAACGAGTGTAGATACCACCAACAATACAGTGGTCACGCTCGAAGGGCTCCAGAGTCAGCTGCTCCTTGGGCTTGATCTTCTCCTCACGCATCTTCTGGACCTCACGGGAGAACACAACGTCGGCAGCGGCAGTAGAGTCGATACAGCTGGCCTTGATGGAGATGAGGACACCACCCTGGTCCTTCAGGAACATGTGAGCGTTCAGGCCGACAATACGGGCCTGGTCGGGCTGGGCAACATCGGCAAAGATGACATCGACCATGGGGACGAGCATGCGGTAACGCAGGGGGTGACGGGCATCCTCAACGATGGGGATGACGTTGGTACGGTGAGTAGCCATGCCAATCAAGTCACGGCCAGAGCGGTGGGAGAACTCAACAGCGTAAACGTTACCGGTAGGGCCAACGATATCAGCAACGTGGGAGACGGAGGTACCGCTGGCACCACCAATGTAGAGGACCTTGGAGCCGGGCTTCATGTGGACGTTGTCCAGACCACCGAGGATACCGGCAGCCAGCTTGGAACGGAAGGGGTTCCACACACGGTACTCGGTCTTGGTGACAGCACCATCCTCACCAGCGGGACCCTCGACGGAAATACGCTTCTCACCGTAGACGGCCTCACCAGGAGTCAAGTTCTTAGTGACAAGCAGATCCTCCTTACCACCGCGGGCAACGAAGACACCGGCGTGACGGTGGGGCTCCTGTGTAGAGAAAAATTCCTGATCAGCACCCGGATCTTCGCAAGATCAAATTTGGCTCCGAGAAAACTTACGATAATAACCTTAGCACCACCACGGGCACCAGCGGCACCACCACGGCCTCCACGGGGAGCACCGCGACCACCACGGGGGCCACCACGGCCACGAGGAGCACCGCGACCACCACCACCACCACCGCGGCCACCGAAACCACCTTCATAAAGAACCTCAGTCAGCAAAATTGTACATTTGGATGTGGTAATAGGCAACCCTAGCAGTAGCCAAGCCAAAATAGACTGATAGACGATGCATAGAAACTGCCTGGGAGATCAAAAATCGGAGCACAAACCTCTGCCACCACCACGGCCGCCACGGTCACCACCGAAGCCACCACGACCACCACCACGGCCACCACGGTCACCGAAGCCACCGCGACCACGAGGAGCGCCGAAACCCATTGTGAAGATAATGTGTAGTTGTTAAACTCGGGGAGTCGAAGGAGTTGAGGATTGAGCTAACTGAATGCTCAAACCGGAAAAAAAAAGTTGGGAGAGGGTCTCGAAAAGAGAGTCGACTCGAATTGGAAGAAATTGACGAATTAATCGTAATGATCGAGTTCAGCAGCTGTAGTTTAATCGACCGATTATGCTCTGTCGAGTGCGGGTCAAGGCCGTTGCTGCTCGTTGATGCGGTCGAGATTTTTTTGCGCTCTTTGGATCTTTCAGAAAATCAGAACGGCGCTAGGCTGGTCTGGGCCTAGTGTGCTTTGCGAGGCGTGGGTTCGTCACATGACCTGCTTGCTTGTATAGCGAGGTCACGTGGTGTATGGGAACCCTGCATTTACACCTACTTCAGGTAGAAAGTACCACTCCAAAAGGCAGGTAAACATTGATTATCTTGATTTACAGAGGATGTATACCGTATGAAAGTAGGGGATGATATGTTAAAACTAGAATAATCGATCGTGAGGTCATATCCACCCGTAAAACAAGATTACCTCTCTATGTACAGAACAAAAAGAAAGAAAAAAAAACCTCCTTCAACCCATCCTAGCCATAGAAGTAATAGAGTGCGGCATACTGAATTTCAAACGAAGACTCCATCCCCTTACAGGTGGTTGGGGGGGAACCCGAGGCAGTATCGACTCGGTAGACGGCCTTATAATTGCCGACAGTGCCAGATACAGCCTTGAGGTAGAGCCAGGCAACAGCACCGTATTGGCCCTCGGTAGCGCTCGAAGGGGCATCAATTGTATCAATCTTGTTGGTCATCGCAATACCATATTGCTTCTCCGTGGTGGTATCCAAGTTGAATTCAGGCGTGGTAGAATTATAGAAAAAGTGGTGGCCCATCAATTCAAGGTTGGCGGGTGGGAACGTCGCATACTCGCTTGTAGGAATAGCAATCTTGTATGCAATGGTAGGGAGCATCTGCAGAACCTCTGGGTAGTTTGCAGCAAGGCAAGTGGTATTATAGAGGTTCGCGACCGCGCCAATGGCTGTAGGTGTGGAGCCTGAGGTGGAATCGGCACAGGTATAGTTCTAGAAGGCAATTAGCCACTGGTCTGAGGGATAGTACTGGGAAATATGCATACCTGAGTACCTCTTCCAAGACCCACATACAAGGGTGACAGACCAGTCGGACTTGGCAGACTGGATGCATAAGATGGAAGCGAGATTTTGGATGTATCGCATTGCACAGCTGATGCCTCGGATGTCTGCCCAATTTGGTTGATTTTTTGGCTCACTTTGCTGTAGTATCCAAGAAGCTCTTCGGAGAAGTCATAGGCATCGTCGAAGAAGTTTGTTGGAGCAGCACTCGACACTGCCACCAAGGAAAGGACCCAGGGTAGAATGTACATGATGTGTGGTAGAGGTATGAAGAATAGGGAGTAGCGGTGAGTATGACAAGATGATATGGAATATTTTGTCGGACTAGAGAGTTTAAAGGAACCCCTTTACAGCACCAGGCTGGTAGTCGGGTAAAGAAAAAATAGAGAATTAAAGGAAAGGAATGACTTGTTGAGGGGATTGTTGATGAAATCCGTCGGGCTGGGGAAGCCGACTACATATAGATTCGGCGCTGATTGCAATCCATATTCGCAAAGAGCTCAAGAATAGAAACATTCGTCTTACTCGAAACAATCTGTCTACAAAAATAAATAATAAAAAGGATCGATGCACGCTGCAGGTACTAGCAGGGATAGGTGGTTAACCGAGGGCTGTCATTGGACCGGGGACGCGCCGAAGTTAGTCGGACCAGCCTTTCAACGATACCATTCGCCCTTTGCCCCTAAACAACTTTGACTAAATCCAGATAGCAACGCGCTAAGCAAAACACTGAAGACCCGAGGGTCAGGGCCCAATGCAGGACCTCCAGGAATTCTCCGGGCTATTAATAAAATGCACTCGGATCCTCTCGCCGTGATGAGCGGTTAGAGATGTGCATGAAGACTTCCCGTGACGGTTAGTGTGCAGAGATGCAACCAGGGGAGGTCACCATAAATCCCTAATTAAACCGGGGCGCCAACACAGGTGGTCATGTTGTGAATCATTAAATCATTGGGTAGCCCTGTTGCAGGACTCGTAACAAATATAGTTTCCTCTTTTTTTGTGTGTATGCCACCAAGTGTAGCACCAGCATTCGAAGGTTTGCGGGGTGGTTGGCGGGGGCTGGAAGCTTACGGTGTGGCTGCCACTTTCCACAGTCTACACGCCATGTACAGGGTGAATGCCAGAACAGGTCAGAGGACCGTCTTACTTCCAGGATTATTGCGATGGGTAGGAAGGCAGCCACAGTACCTATCGTTGAACCTTGGAGCTTGATGGTATATTTACCCGACCGGTGCAGATTCGTCGTACCCACTTTCCAGAAAGGCCGATACATCTATGGGGAGTGGAACTCTAATTGCACACTAATCTTGTTTCTGCGCGAGAAGAGTTGAGTCAAGATTACCCCCTCTTTTCTCCAAGGATCGGGGTCAAACGGCCGAATCAAGTGCACACGGACCGTCTAGAGTCGCTCTAACATGACGCATTAATAACTTGAACTCTAAATAGCCCTTCGGGTCGGATATTCCCCGTAATCTTGCTTTAGCCACGAAGCCCATGCATCGTAGATTAAAGCGAGCTATTCGTCAGCATTTCACCATCACTAACAGGCCGGGATCATCTTACAGCCATCTAATCTAAGATACACATCAATACAATCTTTAATTCTACGCTGACCAATATAGTTCTTTAGCTCTTGGGTTATAACACTAGATGAGATTCCATGGTTGTTTGCAGTCAATGTGGAGTATGAAAATTATATCATGTGGCACATACGAATGACTGGGGTGGAGACTAGTAGAGGTGAAGCTCGAGTCGAGGGTCAATGTACCCGATGTGTCTTACCAAGGCTAGACTACAAAGGAAGGAGACTCTGGGCAGAAAGACGGATCTCGGACACCGGTACGCTACTACGAGCTATTAACCAAACCTGGATGCATATCCGAGTGTAGGTTCAAGGTGGAGAGGTTCTTGCGTCGAACAGCAAGGCGATTGAAAATAGCACAAGGCTAGCGCATTCCAAGTAGGTAAAGAAGATATTCTGGAAGACTTCGCCTCTTTTCTGCAGCCGAGAGGCAAGCCAGGTCCAATGAATAGGCATCGGAGCCTGTACTGTAGACAGCCTAAAGAGAGTTGATTCCATTGAGCATTCCCATTAGGTATTCCGGTGTAGGGAGGTGCAGGGATACGATGTTCTTAATTGTTGGCATATATGAGAGACACAGGAATTGCTATTGTGGTTAAGCTTGGTAGGTCATGGTAATCTATAGAGGCATATGCTCGGGTCTTCGAATGCAGAGACTAAGGATAAGGATATAATTTGAATGAATAATCTATTGGGGGATTCAGTGCTATCGAGAGACTGCCAGGGCCCTCGATATGACGTTTTTAGGAGCTCTTTGTTTGCTGAAGGAGTTTTAATATAGTGATTGCTATCATTGTCTAGCAAGTATGTCTACCCGGGGAGGCGAGTATCAGGGGCCATCATTACTTGCTTTAAAAAATAATACTTTGGATTTTATTCTATTAAAAGGGGATAGACATTACTTCAAATTCCCTGACCTCGTGCATGAAACCCCAGAAGTCGGAAACGGAAAACAAATATCAATCACATTCATGAATACATAGAGGCCAAAAATAAATGTGGGTGACAAAAATAGAGAGACTCGAAAGAATTGACAAAAAGATAACAGGCCCGAGCCGTGGATCGAACACGGGACCTCGCGCAGGAGTGCTTAGAGTTGCTGCCCTAAGCGCGAATCATACCACTAGACCACCCGGGCTGTTGTTCATATCAGCTGATCAAGCTTATGCAACATATACCTGGCCTTCACCCATGTGCTTATAGTCTGGCTCACTAGCTTCAGGCTTCAAGTCTGCCACCAATCTTCGACTCGAGTTATTAATATTAATGAAATGGGCATATCCCTGGTTTTCAAGAGCTCTTGCTTCACGCTTGCTGGCAGGTTGGCCAATCTCAAGGTTGAATTGAAGATATATCTCTCATCACTCAGGGCTGAAATGGACATCGTCTCACCTTTGGGATGATTATATTTCCACGATTTTACCAACAATAATCCACACTTTGCCCAGCCTCCGCTTCTTGGAAATCACAATTGAGATGCGTGTGACCGAAACATCAGAGCTTAATAGCAAACATCGCGAGACAAGCCAGTCATCAAAATAGAGGAGATCTTGCCGTGTCTCCGTTTGGGATCGACAGCATCCCGGATTCCATGTGAAATCGAATTGATTTTCCATTCAGCCACGCAAAGTCGTTCAGGTGCGCATCTTGATGTGCTTCAACTGGCCAATCAAGAATTTGACAAAAGTCGTTTCGGCCGAAACTGACGTGTTCCTTCTGTAGTTCAGTGAGCTGCGAGAATAAGGTGCAGCCGGGAATGGCAAGATTCGGTAAAAGGTCGTGAAGATGAATGGGCCGGAGTGTTGTCGCGCTTAAAAGTATTGCTGAGCTCGGTATTGAAACCTTTGATGCGGGGTTTTGCCTCAGACCAACTACTGTGGCATGGTACGTAATTGCCCAAGACCAGGAAGCGATGTGCAAGGCTATCAGCTGAATGCGGAGAAAGCTGAAGAAGCCTTCGTCTTTGACGTAGCCAATATCACCGACCAAGGCTAGACATGGTACTACGGGGTCAATGTGGAAGCTGTCTTATGCAGCTGGAGATTCCAGATGGAGATCCGATATGAGTTGTAACTGTGTCTCAGCCATCAGCGGCTACCTGGGGCACTGATTGTTTCAAATGACAGAAAGACTGGAAGCTGCGGGGTCCTCTGACCGGTTTTCTTTGATTGAAAGGGAGTACTAAATATGATACGTCGAGGGGTCATGTCGTCTACTGTATTACCTGGGGGCATTGTGTTGTCCCATGAAAAATGCCGTTACACTGATCTTACTTGCCTGGGCTAATCTTTCCCAGAAGAGCCTGAATACACTCCTTAACAACACATTATGTTCAGTATGTAGAAAGTTGCACAGGATATAAGATAAGAATAACATAGACTTCCATGGATATGATACATATGCTTAACGTAAATAACACCCCAACCAACCCAACCTAGATTCGCCGACGCTCACCATAAAATTACAAGATAATAAAAATGTACATCTGAACCTGTGCACATGTTAAATTTGCAGAATCCGCCTTTCTCGGTCTCGGTCATGATCCCGATCCCGATCTCCGCGCTCTCGGTCCATACTCTGGTCATAAGGACCGTCTCCACGATCCGGATGTCGGTCTACACCCCGTTCTTTCTCCTCCACAGCAGCCGCAACACGCGCATGGTGATCGACGGTATCCATGATAGCCTGCATCAGCCGCTGTTGCGCATCTGGGTCCTCTTCATTCGCATGCCGAGGCGGCGGTCCATGATGCGTCCGGCCGCTACTTTCTGTCTCGCTCACGGCCCTGCGAGGAGAGTTTTCCGAAGAGGGTAGTTTTATTGGACCTGCCGAGGCTGGGGCATTTTGAGGAACGCTCGGCGCAGATTCGCGGCGGTTATGGTGAGCATACGCGGTATCATAAGGACCCGTGGGACGCTCGGCAGACGCCCGAGGAACCGGGGATGGACGCTGGGGAGGTAGATTGTAGGTACGGTGGGGGTCATCCATCATTCGATCTCGTGGGCCGGTGGATGGTGCCCAGGCTGTGCGTATTTCCTCCTCCTTCACGTCTCGCCAGGAGCACTTAGCATGCTTTTTTGTGCAGCCTACGCAGGCGGTCAGGTTCTTCAGGCAGTCCATGTGGAGGCGACGGCATCGATCGCAGGGTGGCGTTATTCGCTCGCCGCGGCCCATCTCTTCCATGCGGGCTACCATCTCCAGCTTGTACGGACCGCCGTCGTCTTTGTCCTGAGGAGTGGTTTTAGGTGGCGGTAGCAGAGAGGATGGGGTACTGGGAATAGGTACCGCTGGGCTCGAGGCATTGGTATAGACATTACTGAACTCTGTGGGGGCTTCCGACGTTTGAGGTCGAGGTCGAGGCAGAGGATTGACGGGCGCTGAAGCGTCATCGTAACCACGCGCTTGGCGATCGGCTGTAGTAAAGAATTTCTTCATCAGCTCGGCGCGGGTTGTGGGGGATGCGCCTTTGATGGAGGTTCCATTGATGATGGTGACATTATCAGTGTTGGAGTGTGAGAAGGGGAATTGTGCTGACAGCGTATTGTCTTCGGCGGCCTCGGCCTCAGCTCGAGCTGTGTTGACAGCAACAAAGCCCGATGGCGAAACTTGGGATGAATGGCCATTATGTTCGCGCCATGGCTCTCCAGTACGCGACTGCAAAGTCGCGTCGTTCTGTCGACGACTAACGATCGCGGTGCGGCGGTTCTTCAGGCGATAACTGAGCTGGCGAGCTCGGGCAGCGGCTATGACAAAAGTTAGGAACTACGAAAATGTTGCGACGGAAGGGGGTTTCTGGCCTACCTTGATCGGCCATCTGGGTAATCTGCTGGAGATTTTTCTCCAGTATTTCAAGTGCGCCCAACTCCTTCTCCTCATCCTCAATGATTGGCTGTGGGGGGATCATCTTTTGAGGCATGCCCGATGCGATCAGCACAAAGTCCTCCTCACTGATCTCCACTCGGCACTGTTTGGTGTAGAACTGGCAGATGCGTCCACCGTTACGCGACTTCTCCAGGACGAACTGATCCGGCTTATCTTTGGCGAATTCGACAACATCCAACCAAGTCACTGTCGGTCCATCCTTACCATGCTGCTTGACCACCTGCGGGGGCGCATCGAACAGTCGCTCAAAGCGCTTGATCAGGATAGGACCCAGCGGACATGCGCCCAGGTTGCCGGCGATACTCTCATGGCGTTGGAGGACTCCGTCATATTCTCCGATCAAATGGATGATCGAGGGCATACTATCATCGGCGGAGACGAGGGGGAGGTTTTCGGGGCATTGGCGCGCGAGGTAGTTGATTTGTAGGTGGTTGGGTTGTGTCTTAGGTACTTTGGATTGCGGTTGCTGGTCGGTTGTAGGCGATCGAGGCCGTTTGTTAGACGGCTCCGTGGTCGCGGGGCGGGAATCCATGGTGGAATTGACAAGAACGCATTCAGGAGCGGTTTAATTGCTGTGATTCCTCGCGGAGTATCGACCCCGAGGACCTAGCAGTCCGGACACGTTGAGGAGGTAAAATAGGAAATGAGAAAGAGTGAGACCTAGGGGCGGTAACGGAAATGAGTTTAAGGCTACAGTATTCGACCCGGCGGAGTTTCAGGGCGGAACGCTGTTAATGGGCGGGCAGGACAAGGAGGCAAAGCGTAAAGTTAAAGAGTCCGCGATGAGGGAATGAGGGAAATCATGCAGAGGTCTTAGTTCTCTAGAGGAAATTCAAAAATACAGAGCAGAACCAGAAGATAGCCCCCAGGACGAAAACCAACCAGTTGTACGTAGCGGAGTCCCGCCGGGGCTTTCCGCTGAGGCATGGGCAGCCATGTTCGGGTCCCGTGCACCAGTATGCGTGTACAACCCAATAAACGAATGATACTGGAACCCATCTCATCATGATTATCGAATGAAATTTTCTTACTCTGTCAATCCCCGGTAAACAAGCCTTTTGGCCTCCACATTAATGACGAGTTGCGATTAGGTTGATACGTTCAGAGCTTGGTATTATGGATGCCTAGAGCAGCACAATGTGTACCTGGGTATGAGCCATACCATTGTCCCCCACTGAGATTGGCTCCGCTCGCAGCATGCGGGATCCGCGGGGGCGGTAAGAATGGTAATAATACAGTAACAGCGGAACTTCCATTGAGCGGGAACTTAACTAGCGCACTTATCGCCCTTATCACTGTAAGGCAGGAACACCACTCGCGCTAAAAATCCCTCATACACTTGACCCCTTCACTGAACGGGACCTGATTGACCTCACTGTATCCCCTTGAGCTGCTTCCCCGGTCTACTTCTCCTATCTGGGTATAGTGACTTTCCATTGAGGAATTTTTCTTTTTATTTTTCTCTTTTCTTTCCCTTAATTCCCGCTCAGACCATAATGTCCGAACGTGGTTCGTTCCGAGGTCGCGGTGGTGGTGGTGGTGGTGGTCGCGGCGGCGGTGGTCGTCAGTCACAGCAGAAAAGTGGCGGTGGTGGCGGTGCACAGGAGAAGCCCAAGAAGGAGAACATCCTCGATCTCAATAAGTATATGGACAAGGAGGTCCAGGTCAAGTTCAATGGTGGCCGTGAAGGTGTGTCTTTTTCTGTTCGCTCTTAATCTTCCTAAGGTTTATTCTTAATTTAACCCAAGATCAATTGCTGATTCGCTACTAGTCACTGGAACCCTCAAGGGTTATGACCAGCTCATGAACCTCGTCCTCGACGACGTCAAGGAGTCTATGCGTGGTATGTTCTGATCACCAAGAGATGGAATCTGAACTTCAATACTGATGATCATAAGATGATGAGGGAAACCAGACTACCCGCTCGCTGGGTCTGATCGTCGCTCGTGGCACACTCATTGTGCTTATCTCGCCGGCGGATGGAAGTGAGGAAATCCCCAACCCGTTCGTGCAGCCCGAGGAGTAAGAGATTTTCTTTCTCAATTTAACTCAATCAATGACTGCAACATGACCGGCTGCTTTAGAGCGGCCGTGGAAGTCCTTGACGGATTCCTCGTCGCCTAACAATGAAAAATCAATGGACCCTGACTTTAGCGAAGTGCACGCTCATCAGGAGCTACGAAGGGAACGAATGCACCATGAACCTTTTTTTTATCTGTTCATCTGAGAATTAATGTATGATAAAGACATTGCTGCATACCTGATTCCGGCACGAGTCCCTTGTCCTAGGAAGCCTAGGAACGAAATTCATGATTATTACAATGCACAAGAATATCCAAAGTGCAGATACCGAACAAAACATGCGGTCTAATGTTTTTGTTCATGGTAATTTAGTGTCAAATAAACGAAATAAAATTGTTAGGTATCCTAGAGTCAAGGCTGGCCATACAATGGTCATCTAGTCATCCCGGGCGTCAGGCGACACCACTTCCCCAAATTCTCCATCATCTTCATTAGCACCATCAGCCGGAGCAGGGAGTGACTGAACCCCACCCGCCAAGCGCCGAAGACCCTCTCCATCCTCTACCCAGGGTCCGGCTTTCTCCATGCTATCATTGTAATCAACGCCGATGCGCAAGTTGAGACCTGCACTGAGGGCACGTTCTATGCGGGCCTCGCGTGTTTGAGAGACGAGGGTTCGGAATACGTGCACCAAGAAACCACCCAAAATATCGATGCTCCAGTCTTCGGGAACGATGTCCAAAACTTCGCGCACATCGAACCAGGCTGCGAAACGGGCGAGGAGGTCACTGGTTCTCTCAATCCGATCGCTCAAATCTTGGATCTCAAGAAATTCGTCCAGCAGATGGCGGAAAAGTTCGGACTGCAAGGCGTGGCCGGCAAGTTCGGGGCTGGTGGACGAACTTGAGCTTTGTGGTCCACCGAAGAGACAGTACCGAATGGCTGAGTCGTAATCCCCCAGACCATGGGTGAGAAGCCGGAGGGCAGCACGGTGATGACCTTGGAGACCATCCAGGATAATGCTCTCGGAAACAAGCTCGTTTTGGAAGGGCTCAATACGTGCCAGCACGTTGGGAATGGAGTAGGTGATACCTGAGGGAAGAGGGGTGGATGAGAATTGTGTGCCTGAGGTGCCGCTCAGCAGCTGTAGTAGACGAAGACGTGACTGCCACCAAGGTTCCTTAGGAGTGTTCTCTGTGATGAAATTTAGGTAAGTAGGCTTGGGAGGACGCAGGGCCCGGTATGTTGAATATGAATCTGAGAGGGAATCCCTTGCGGCAGATGAAGACTCAAGCACAGAAAGTACTTCGTTCAGGTAATAGGAGATGAGATCGTCGGCATATTGAGTGTACTATGACTAGTTAGAAAATGATGGGTTGAATGAATTCAATGGTGGACGACTCACGTTTTTAGCAAAAACCAAATGCTCCAGGTAGACCTGCACAGCATTGGGGGCTTTCTCTTTGAGCAAAATGACAACATCTGTAGGTTCTAGTCGTACACGGCTAGCATTGTCCGCAAATACCTGCACTCCCAAATTAGGGTTTCGCCCAGCGAGCCAAGATCCATACTCCTCCACCAACTGGACGTTCTTGATATTGACCAAATACTTGCGCATCTGGGCCTCGACACCGGGCGCAGTGAGCTCGCCACCAGCATCAGGTTCTCCGTCAACGATTCTCCGCCAGGTGTTGAGCACATTGCGAGACATCTTCTGGCTCTGGTAAAGACGACTCAAGATGTATAGCCTCTGATACTTTTCTAAAAGAGCCACAGCCCGGTCAAAATTTCCCTTCCAATTATCGACCAGTCGATTCAATTCGGTGCGAGTCGATAATTTTGTCCGCTTGTCCGCACCTGCATTGGCCTCCTGTTCCAGAACTAGATGTAGAAGAGCGGCGTCGGTGCTATCCAAGACATAAGTTTCGTCCGTGATGCTACCATACCCTCTCTTCTGCTGCCAAGAGAAAAGAAACCGCTTTACCATGTTCAACACTGGGCCGTTGATGGCAACTGGGCCAGAAGGCTCGCTGTTTACTTTTTCCACTTGTTGGATATACTTTCCTGTCAGGGCTGCCAACCCGGAGTGTACCCAAATCCCCTGAGGGCCCTGTAGAACTTCGCACCGAAGAAGCGGAATGAATAACAAGGCTAGGCGGGGGTCCAGGTTACCGGCCAAAAGAGCTTGTTCGGTGGGCTCGATCACAGACTCGCCTCGGTGATCGAAAGGCATGGACAGAAGGTCCCCGTATAGTAAAAGACTAGCTTTCTGCTTTACGTAGCCGAGACCGATGAATTCGGACTCATTTTGAGGCTCAATATCCCGGATTGACATCATCAACGCCATGACCGAATCTCGCTGCAGAATAATGTGCCCACCATCATTGGTATACTGTGCCTGTTGCAAAGAGTTCTCAAGTTGAACCACCAAGGGATTCTTGACTATGCGCCATATCTGGGATCCTGACCAGAGTATGAGGCTGCTTTGGAGTTTACCCAATCCATGGGCAAATTTCGCCTCTTCAACATTACGTTGAGCCTCCCAGCCTCGGCCTGTAGCTGCTCCGCCTTTCTTGACGCCCTCTGAATCGGTCAATTCCTGAGACTCGAAGAGTTCTTCTTCCTTCTGAAGATGCTCAATAGATGCTTGTGTTCGAGGATCTGCTGACGGTACATGTGGTAAAAGTAAAGGGGTTTTGAGACGGGCCATTCGCAAAAGCTGCCCGATATCCTCAAGCTCAATATGACTGGGACTAATGGTATGCCGTAGACCAACTCGAGCCGGTTTTGCTCCAGGTGAGGGTATGTCCATCCATCGCTTTTGGCGTTCAATTTCCGCGGGATCGTCATCCCATCGTTGAATTTCGAGCCGATTTCTATCGTCTCCTTCGTCAATGATGGCAAGCACAAATTCATCCTTGGTATCATCGTTGGGCTGGAGGAATTGATCGTCTTCCCCAGCATCAATGATTACGGACTTCGGGTATCGATGGAAATTAATAGTTCCCCGCACAACCTCTCCATCCAAGTCTACAAACATACCCACACCAGGCTCGTTTTCTTCAGTTCCGGTTACCAGAAGAAATTCAGAGGGGGTTGGAGACACCACATGGGGCTGTAGTTGCTTCGAGACTTGTGTCGGAGGCAAGGGAGGAAGGGGCTTAGCACTCTCAGAAGCTGCCGGCAGAGAATCAATTTGAGGGCTGTCTGTGGGTTTCTTCTGAGCACTCTCATCTTCTCTCTCTTCCGAGCTTGATCGGCGAGGTGTCCCAGTAGCTGTGAAGGGATCTGGGGTTCCGGAAGGCGAAGGCGACCGAGCTTGTTGAGGTGTCTGGACATGGGGTTGTAACATGCCTGCAAAAGCGTTTAGACTGCTGCTTCTGCCATGCGCATGTGGATCGGTTGGAGGAGAGCTTGGGTAAGATGACGAAGGAGATCGTTTAAGAGGGGTTTGAGGTCCCGCCACAATGTCTTCAACTTGTCCAGACTCGAAGACTTCATTTGAGGATGAGATAGGAAACAATGGAATCTTCTGCTGATGTTCGACTTCGAGCAGCGAGTATGAATGGGAGTCAGCCGCGCATGCGATTGTGCCCCTGCGAGCTGCGACCAAGCACCCGGGAAATCCAATCTTCTTGATGCGGCGTGCCTCATCACCAATCTGAACTAGCATGATATTGTTTTGTGCAGCAATCATCACCACGGGGTCTTCCCTGGACTCGCCATTCTGATCAAGGTCTAAGCCGCCGATCCACCGACAGTGGTTGACCTTGGTATTACCGAACGCCGGGCTGAGTTCTGGGAGCATGTAGAAAGTAACGGTGCCATTGCAAAGTACGCAAGCTTTATTCACGGAGGCGAGTATGACAATTTGCTGAACACCGAGCTGGTCACTGTTCGAGGGCGTACTTTGGAATGGGATAGGCAAACGCGACGCCAGTATAAATGTGGGCTCATTCGAATCGTCGGAAGCGGGTGGAAGGCAAACAAAGTGCAATATCTCTGCGGCCGAGGTTCCAATATACAGATTTTCATCTAGAATTGTAGGTGGTTAGTGGACAGCGATCCAGATCCACGTCATGATAGCTTACCCCAATACTCGACACAGGTGATGTAGACGTCACGGTTGTCCTCGGTCTCCACGGGTACATTCTCGAAGAGCGATCTTAGAACGTAGGGATCTGACCCTGGAGGAGCAATTCTACGCCTCTTACGGGGACCTAGTCCATCATCTGAAGCCATGATGGCTAGCTTGCAGGAGCCTTGTCCCCGCGCAGCATTGAAGGTGAGCTGGAAGGCGGTCAGACTGGGGCCAAAGCTAAGGTTCAGGGGCCACTCTCATACTGTAAATCAGGAACAGAAAGCGGGTGCCAACGGCTATCAAGGCAACCACTTGGGAAGTTCCAGACAAATAAAAAAGATATCCTAGATCGCCTAACACTACTTCAAACTATCTACGAAATCCCCCGATCGCTGTTCAAATCGGAAGAACTTCGGCCCGTGCGCCGCGTGTCCTGTTGCATCTCCGCGCGGTTTCCCCATCCTTGGAATCTGTGTTTCGGTGTGGGGTGAATTTGCGCTCTTGAGGGTTGACCGCTGCTCATGGATTCCTTTGCTATTACAGAGGGCCTTGCTGCCCAGGAGCAACATGATGCACTGCCCGAAATGTCCGCTAAACTTTCCGAGGAGACGAACAAGTTCCAGCGTGCTATAGCCGCTTGGCGTGGTGAGTGGCCTAAACAATCACAAAGAAGCCATCTGGCCACTTGACTAACACATCTCAGGAATTGACCTCGCTAGCACCATCGCCAAACTTGACACGACCGCCTCCGATATCGTTGAATACCAGCGGGAATCCCTCGTTCAAAGAAAGGAACTGGCGCAAAAGACCAAGGACTTCAAGAAATTGGAAGACAAGGACAAGCTCACAGAGCACAAGGGACTACTGAAGGCGTACCAATCATTCATCGATGTCTTGACAAACCAAGGAAAGGCGTCCTCGTCCTCCTTCCTCCAACTATACTCGTCCCTATCCGAAGCTCCCGATCCCTACCCACTTCTCGAGGCCTCGGTTGATTCCTTGGTTCTTTCTGAAGAGACCGTTCCAAAACTGACATCTGAGCGAGACCAATTGCAACAGTCGGTCGACCGGCTTACCAGACAACAAGAGGAAACGGAGAAGCGTCTCCAGGAGGAGCGTGCTGCGCGGAAGAAGTTGGAAGATAACCAAGAAGCCAGGGCTAAAGAGATTGAAGCATCTTGGGAGGCCGTTTTGACAGAAAAGACTAGCAACTGGGCCGCGAAGGAGAAGAGCTTAGAAGAGAAGGTCGAGAACCAGGAACGCTTGATCAAGGAACTCAAAGCCAGCTATGAGGTTTCGCAACGCATGGGCGAAGATGATGACACCGATGGCGCTCGGAATGGTGCGACCGCTGCTGAACTGGAGCTTGTTTCTGCCGATTTGGAAAAAACCAGTTTGAGGTTAGCAGACGTGGAAGCGCGGAATGAGCAACTACGACTAGAACTAGCCCAGGCCGTTTCTCACTCGAACCCCGATCGACCGACTTCTGTGGAGGATGACCCAGCATACCAACGCCTTCAGTCGGAGAACTCTTCTCTGCTACGCAAGCTTGATGCTGCTCGCTTTGACAAGGACTCGACTCGGCACACTTGGGAGGGCAAGCTCCACCAGGCGGAGAGGAACGCATCAAAGGCTACCGTGGAGAGAGACGAACTGCGCGCTCGCCTAAGCAAGGTTGCGGACTACGATGAAATCCGCCGAGAGCTAGAGATGATCAAATCGATCGAATTTACAGCCGGTGATGATGACGAGGGTGATGATATGGCAGAGGATGATACAGCAAACACCAATGGTGACGCCACGAAGGCCAATGGGCAGAACTCATTAGAGAAATTATTGTTGGCTCGGAACAAGAAATTGACCGATGATCTCACTGTCTTGCGGGTGTCGTCGCGCGACATTCAAGGGCAACTTGAAGTCATGCGCGGCGAGCTTTCAGCGACAAAGGAAGAACTCGAGAAATCTCGAAGCTTATCGTCCACCCTGGAGAACGATCTGCTGCGAGTTCAACAAGAGGCTGCCAACGCATTCCCTTCATCAGCGATGTCCGTCGCGGGTACTTACTCTTCTCGATACCCCCATTCATCTCGCCGAGGTGCGACATCCCCCACGTCGTCAATAATCTCTGGCTTTGATCAAAGCGCCGTATCCGCCAATACCATGGATGCTATCCGCGCTGGTGAGGCTGTTGGAGGCGGCTCCGGTCTATTGCCAATGATCCAGGCGCAACGCGATCGCTTTAAGAAGAAGAACGCCGAGCTTGAAGAGGAGCTCTCTAAGCTGTACGGCACTGTCAAGTCATTGAGGCAAGAGGTCGCATCGCTCCAGAAGGACAACTTAAGTCTTTATGAGAAGACTCGATATGTTTCCACCTACAGCCGCGGCCAGGGTGCATCCACATCAGCTTCCTCGTACGCGAACGCACCCAATTCCACATCCGTATATAATTCCTCGGACACGCCTTCCGGGTTGTCCATGGATCGATACCAGTCCCAATACGAGGCACGGATCTCTCCATTTGCTGCCTTCCGAGGTCGTGAGTCGGCCCGTGCATACAAACGCATGAGTCTCCCAGAGCGGATCGTGTTCTCCCTCACCCGCATTATTATGGCCAACAGGACCAGTCGGAATCTGTTTGCAGGCTACTGCTTCGCTCTTCATATCCTTCTCTTTGTGGTGCTGTACATGATGAGCACAACGGAAATTGAGAAGCACAGTGCTATGAGTGCTGTAGGTAGTGCCGCGGCTGCCGCATATGCCAACCATGGCGGCATGGGCAGTAGTAGTGGCAGTGGCAGTAGCAGTGGTCAGCTACAAGCGGATGACTGGCAGCAAGAGGGATTCAACCAAGCAAGCTGAACACTTTCCAGTCATCAAATTTTAATAAGACTTGCAATACATGTCATTGACTTCTCGATTGAGCGCAAGGCCCTGTGATCTTTGAACAGCGAGGGCTCGGAGTTGTTTTTTCTTTTTTATCTATTCTTTCTTTGTGGTCTTTCTACCATGGCTGACCATAAAAATTCGGCGTTTTAGGAATGAAGCCTCTGGCTCTGAATGAGCGAATGTTTGTGTTTATGAATCTGGTCAGCCAGTGTACAGTGAATAAATCTTAGCCTATGATGTGTTACAAAATGCTCCTATTACTGTTTACCCCGGATGACCCCACACGGATTTACCTGAAATTAGAATCCATAGAAACCAACCTTCAAGGTTTGAAGTGTTGCAGATTGGATATACATCAACCGCCCCACAGCTTAGAACATGCTGACCAAGACCAGGAATTCCTTCCGCGTACGTGGGGAAATCCCGGCTATATTCTCATCCATATATGATCGCTTTGATCTAGGGAGAGTCTATGATACTATCACAAAGAATGTGCAATAACGTCGACATGGGAATTAACAAACATTCCTGTAGCTTGAGTTCCATGCTTCGGCATACACCAACAAATCCATTGCCGGTGGTTGTACCAGCACAGTAATTCCGCTGCGCTGACTGGGTGGGGCAACTCTTGCGGGGTGGAAAAGACCCATCCAGCTATAGAAAGCCCATAAATTTGAACGAACCAAGTGGGCAATGCACTTTCGAATACCATTCATGTCCACTCGTTCCAGATGTTGATTACCCAGTAAAAACACACCTCAAATCACCCCACCAACATTTGAAATCCCGCCGGAACTGCCGTAAGTCCGGGTTCGGAAGGCAGTGACGATATAATAGTCAACGGTCCCCGGATTCTGTTTTGCTATAATTCTCAATTCTTTTTTTTCCCTACCTTGTCCTCCCATATACCCAATCTTTGTTACCTATCGCAGCCACTCAAACCACCATGGATCCCTCCAAGGTCAAGATCCCCCCAATGAAAGACCTAACGGTCGACAACATCACCGAGAATGTTCACACAATCAACTCCCTCTGCGAAGACGAGCGCATGAAGTACATCCTTGAGCGCCTTGTAACACACCTCCATGATTTCGCCCGCGAAACCCGCCTCAGTACCGACGAATGGATGACCGGTCTCCGCTTCCTGACGGAAGTTGGCCAGATCTGTACTGAAGTCCGTCAAGAGTTCATTCTGCTCTCCGATGTCCTCGGTCTTTCCATCCTCGTCGACTCAATCGATCACCCCAAGCCTCCCGGTTCCACCGAGGGTACCGTCCTGGGTCCCTTCCACACCCACGATGCGGAGGAGATGCCAGCCGGTGAATCCATGTCGCATGATCCCAAGGGCGAACCCTTGCTCGTGGTTTGCACATTGAAGGACATGGAGGGTCGACCAATTGATGATGTGAAGATTGATATCTGGGAGACGGATAGTACTGGCCATTATGATGTGCAGTATGCGGGTCGGGACGAGCCTGATGGTCGTTGTATTATGCGATCTGATAAGAGCGGTGTATTTTGGTTCAAGGCCATCACGCCTGTACCATACCCCATTCCCCATGATGGTCCCGTTGGGCGATTGTTGACCAAGTTGCACCGTCACCCGTACCGTCCTTCGCATATGCATTTCATGTTCCAGAAGGAGGGATATGATCACTTGGTCACGTAAGTTCTTAATGCAGCAACTGTTTGATTTTGGGTGTATGCTAATTATTCCACAGCGCGCTATACCTCCGCAATGACCCCTATGAGACCTCGGATGCAGTCTTTGGTGTCAAGGATTCTCTGACGGTTGACATTGGCAAGGCTGGTCCTGAGATTGCGAAGAAATATAACGTTCCTGAGGGTCATGCCCTGCTCACCTACGATTTTGTTCTAGTGTCTGACGCGGAGACATTTGAGCTACGTGCTAAGAACTCCAAGACTGCGCTAGACAAGCTTGGCCGTAAGGTGAAGATGGTGAATGGGTTGCCCGTGCCAGATTTGGATTAAATAATTACAGTACCAAAGTGTATATAATTTGTTTGAAACAATGAAAAATGCTATAACGTCACTATTTGATTAGATGGATTACCGTTAACGGCATGTGAGTGCTACAGATTGGCCGAAAATATAGCAATAACAAAAGTAGTTCTCGGCGTCCTTCGAGAGGAGTTCAACATCTTTGCCCTCGCACTCTCTCATACAGGCCTGGGCAGCCATCTAGATGCTACAATATGGACGACCGGCATGACACTTGCACCGATGAATGACGCATTTCGTGCACTAGGAACACATCTGAACGAGTTTTATTTTCTCGCCTCAGGGCGAAGAGTTCTTGCATTCATTGCTGAAGTATCATCCCATTCTTGATAAGACCGTTTATTCGGACATGATTTGTGGGGAGAGAAGGGAATTGATGACTTGAAACCTAGGGTGGTGGAACGGGGGAGGGTCCGTTTCCATCACAAGGAGGGTCGGAATGGAAGGGTCGTGGGAGATCAGAGCTATAAGAGCGATCCGGCTGTGCATGTGGTTTCTCCAGTATTGCTGGATGGCTGTGATGTTACGGTGGATATTTGTTTAAAAGACTCCGGTTTGGACTGTAGGGTTAATGGGGTTTGCGAGCCGACGGTGGATGTGTTAGCTAAAGGTAGGTTGCCACATATTTTGGATCGCATACTGATTCCACCGAAAAATGTGAGTGAGAAGGTCAAAAGGACGGGAGAAAAGGACGAGGCGACTGTCAGAATGAGGGAGCGGCTGGACATGGAGGCCGGAATAGAGCTGTAAGCGAAGGAAAGCCAGCCCTAGGTGAAGAGATGATCTACATTTACCAGAGTACGCAGTAGTATTGATTTTCTTCATTCTTTATCAGTGTGTATTTCCCATGAAATGTGCAAGCCGCATGGCTGGAAGCATTGTGTGTGTGAAGCAAAACAAAGTGTAACAAGACGATGAGTAGACCAGAGGGCTGCATGATATACCCAGTACCAGTTAGGGTATGACCCAGGTTGCGGGGTGGCCGCGGAGTAAATAAAAGAAGAGGGGACAAAGACAACCAAAAACCTTATAACAAGTCACACCCAAGTTCGACAAGCACAAGAAGCCGGGCTGCTCAGTGCATCCTTCTTGTCGGCTTCATCAGTGCCTGGAAAGACGATTCAAGTGCCTTCTTGACCTCCTTGTAGCTGACAATAAAACAGCTTTGTTCATCCCGGCTCACCAGTGTAACCTTCTCGTCGCTGCCTGCATCAAGTTTGTTCAGGCAAGTCAATACATGGCCGAGATCGACCACTGGATCACCTTGAGCATCCACTTGGTGGAAGACGTAGTCTCGGAATATCTTCAAGAAATAGCGCTCTCCACTCTCGGACCACTGTCGATCATGATCATATTCAGGACGTTCGTTGACAAGGTTCAATTTAGTCATCAGACGCACAAGGCGTCCATTCTCAAGCTCGCGGCTGAGATCGGATGTAAGTTGATCATCCAGATGCAACGCCGAATCAAAAGTCGACATCAGCTGAGACGAAATTCCGGTGATAAAAATGTCAATAGTGCGTTCCTGGTCTTTCTGAAGCCCGCCCAATAGCCAAAAGACCGAGTTTTTCATCTGCTGACTGTATGCACGTGTGAAATGATCCATGGACTTGGTTGCGTTGTGCATCACATTTGGCGAGTTGGCACCCAAAGTGACAATCAACTGCCCGAAGTTGACTAGATCCTGTCGCTGCAGGTCCGCGAGGGACCGTTGAGTATCAAATTGGACCACATCGAGGATGGAACAGGCGTTCAGACGGATTCGATTTTTGCCTGTCAGGAGAACCTTACTCGGCTCCAACACCCGGGCTGCAAGACCATTAGTGTGAATCGCCTTCAATGCATTTGCAATCTGTGTCATATAGCCCCAGAGAACCTGCTCAGGAATGTGGGTGTTATGACGACCCTGAAAGCGGTTCCCAGTTCCCAGATGTTGCTCGGAGAGTGTTTTAGAAAGCGGGTGATAATCGGTGACGAAGATAAGCGAGCTATCTTGGAAGCTTCGGCTGGTGAATGCATCATGGACTGTGACCACACTGCCGCTGCAAACACGCTTCCAGGCCTGGACGGATCGGATGGCCTTCTCATTGGTCAGGCGGAATCCTGGATTGGTTAGTTGATCATACTCAAGAATAGTCAAGTGGTACTGCCTACCTTCAAGCCGACGAAGCACATAGAAATTTCCATCCTTGCTCGACTGCGCTTTATACACCCAGCTAGGGTAACCGAACGTCGTTGCGTTCTTCTGATGACTCAAATCCAATGGCACAAGAGAGTGGAAATAATCGACCTGCGCAGGGAGTTGTGTATCTGACAAACTATTAGCTTTTGACTCTAATATAAAAGCTGGGACCATATCAACCCACTGGGTAATGTTTGTAAAGTAGCCGCAGCTTTCTTCTGCAGTTCTTCACGGAAATCGTTGGGGAGGAAGAGGTCGTGAACATTGCGTTGGTAACCAAGGGTGTTCTGATTGTGAGGGCCGATGGGAGCATAAAGATGATATTGGACCTGCAATGGGATTGAATTAGACCAATGGAAACGGTACTAGGCTGGTTGACGCGTACGGGTTGCTGGAAGCCGGTTTGACTTGCAAAGAAAGTAGCTCCACCTAGGGCGGCGGGATCATGTGCATATGGATTGGTAGAAACGGGCCCAACGCCCCCCGTGGCAGAAAGAGGTGAAGCTGTCACGAAGGGGTCAAAGGCACCAGCGGCAGCGATGGCTCCGTTCCCATTGCCTTGAAGAGGTGACTGTAAAGAAATGTCAGTCGGATAAACCTTCATACTAGAGCTGCAATATTTTTGTCTGCTCCATTCCGAGACAGGGACTGGATCCCAGTCGTCGGACAAAGCATTCAAGCTTCGGCTGGAGCGGTTGTAGTGGGATCCAAGCATGCTTGCAGTGCTATGTTTCCAAGAAAATTCTCACCCCCCAAAAAGAGTTGGGACTGAAGATTCTTCAAGCCCACGAGAGAGGAAGGAGCGATGCGACCTACCACATGAGTGGCATCGAAGCCCTGCGGAACGAACTCCTGTACCTCCCCCACTGTCGTCCAATCGGGAGCTCCTGCTTCTTGTCTCGGGGTACTGGTGTTGGAGCCTTTGCCAGTCAGTGGAGATGAAAATGGATCCGGATCGGAGGCCATACGGGATGCGGCAACTCTGGGTTGGAATGGGGCCGCGCTGGCAGCTTTTGGGGAGATGGTGGATTTCTTGGGCGCAGAGGCGCCATTGCCCGACAAAAGGGAGGGAGTAAAGCTCGGCGAGTCCACGTTGAAGCGTTTCTTATTGCTGACAAGGAGAAGGAAGCCATCAGCCTGCTGTCCAAAAACCAGGTCCCTGGTTGATTTACCTGTCCGACTGGTGTGCCGCGTTGACTTTCTGAGGGTCGTGATTAAAAGCACAGCCTGATTGCAGATTCATCGAATTAGATTTATCCCTACAGAGATCCGATCAAAATATTGGAGATGTACCTTTATCTTCATAGCGACACCGGCCGTAGATGGTTACATTGCGGCATAAAGTATCTTTCGCGTTCTCTGTTCCCAGTCCTCGGTGAGCAACAATCCGAAGTATGGACCCGGTCCTTAACTCCGTCCCATCTTTCTATGCTTGGATATCTGCGGATTCGGGTGAATTGCGACACACTCACCTCGGGTCTTCATTTTCGGCGATCCCGTCGTGCGACGGGAATCGTCAAGAGCAGGCTTGCCGGAGGAGGCCATTATTGGGGCGGCGGAGACCGACAAGACAGGACGAATCAGCGCACTCGGATCTCCATTGAAACGGGGCCAGGGACGAAAGGATTGAGTCGACCGAGAGGTAGCCACATTCCTTGTGATGTGACACCTATCCTACGGCGGTTTGGCAGATTGGCGCGTTGTGATCGTCGCAAGCGGATCGGGGGAACAACAAGAAACGGGGATATATATAATGTCGAGCACCACGCCTATAAAGATATGGGTCCCAATGCGGCTCCTCCACCGTAATTCAGAACAGGACGTCGATAGAAATGATAGAGGAAGACGCGGGGCGATGAATGAACTCGAGCGAAGGGGGAGTGTGCACGGACCAGGCGGTCAGGCCCACGATCGAATCTATACTGTCAGGTACTTAACAACAAGTCTGCTAATGGATATAGAGAACTTTCTTTAGATCTATATGCTTCCAATATCAAATTATTTCTATCTTATATAGCCTCTTTTGGAGCTTGGGATTTTCCTCCGATCTCTACCATATATTTTCAGAAGTAGCCACCACCTGACTTGGAAAACTGCATATGTATACCTAGGTAGCACCGCGTTATAGGTATTGGCCGATACTTAGCAATTACCTTGAAATCGAGATAGAAGTTTGAAATTTGAAGATGTTGAGAATAATGCCACGTGTAAATGGAGGGGAGTGGATAATACATTGTATACTCATGGGTGTGGATTTGAGCTGATATATATATATCTGGAATTGGACAGATACCAACACCCCAGATTGTCTTATCTATGGATGATGTAATCCACCTGTACACATGCACACAATAAAATGAAGTACCACAGCCCAGCTAGCTGTAAAATACAATTGCTGGTAGGATCAAAACACAGCAAATATCATCGTAATCAGCCAACCACATCTGTTCAATATTTACTAACGGGCTGAGTCCATATCGAGGTTCAAGGCTCAAAGTCTATCTAGCTGCCCAAGGCGGTATGATAGGGCGGTGTCCTTATTTGCCAGTCCAACATGTCCTCTCGGCTTGGACAGCTCACGCCTGCCACCTATCAGCCACCATGTCCACGTCGGACCTCGACCTCGACCAGCTCTCACCTAGTGAGAGAACTGCTCTTGAGACATATACCTCTGTCACGGGTCAGGAATTAACAGAAGCTATTCCTCTATTACGCCGGTCACAATGGAATGTTCAGGTGGGTGCTACTCTACTCCCCACAGCTCCCCAGCTCACTTATCCACCCCCGC